CGAAGTTCCACGTAAAAAGTTAAAAAGGTTTGTTCTTTAATATTTATCCCAAATAAGCGGATGCCCCGATTAACCCCAATCTACTGTACTGTTATTATACCTACGCCCAGGTCTTGAAAATTGTCCTTCCCTCGAGATTTTCCAACATGATTGCTGCAAATATTTCCTGTTTCTCCCACGCGTCCAGTAATGTAATTAGCAACAACACAGAATGGCCGTGTAACCTAGTAAAAGTTTACAAACGTTTCAGACGTCCTTGCTTCCGCCATCATCAGGGTAAACTTGTACCAGGCTACGCGGTGCTGCAACCCCAGGTGACAGCCAGCCATCTTCGAACTCACCACCGCGAACACCTAAAATTCTACAGAACTCACAAGTTCGTCATGTTTAACAAAGTCCCCCTGATTTTCAACTCACTTGGTTCATCATTGCACAAGATGAAAAATGTTTTCGACATGGCGCGAAGCGACATATGCACCGTCTCTCTCATATGATTTGATAGGTAGAACCATGAGCGCAGGTGTTTGCCATATCATAAATAGTCACTCTCCAGCTGTCGACGAGTTGCTTTCGCATGGACATGTTCAATGTTCCTTTTCTGTCATCCACGTGACGGGATGCCATGCTTGTTTGCTGTGGCAAAACACTGCAGACAAACTGTGCAGATGGTCTGTGGTGGATTTCTGCATGTGCATGTAGCAAGTGGATCACCCATACTGAAAACGCTGGTGGGGCAGAACTGCCAAGGTAAAGGAGTACGAGTATAAGTCCCAAGAGTTCAGGACACAAAATAGAATTTTCGGAAATGTTCAACAAATCGTATTTACAGACGTATACAAAACGCAAAATTATGACGATACAACTTACAGGTACACGAAATTAAGGTTAATATGATATTTTTGATAAATTACATGCATTATGAAATGCAGGAACCATATTTCGGTTGTAATTTTTGGACTTAAATGCTAAGAAACCTCCAAACTGGGTTGTAGAGCCAAGGAAGAAGAGGAAGAATTTCTGGACTTACGCCCATTTACCCTCGCACTGGCAAATTAGTACATCGCAGTAACAGTATTTTACGTTCTGTGCACATTCAGAGGTAGAGTCAACCGCAAAGATAAGATTAAATCGATTTGCGGATACTTGCTGAATTTCCCTCGTTTATTTTCGAATACATTCTTAAGGAGGCTGGAGGTAAAACAGTGCAGTCCATACGCTGACCGGGGAGTAATCACCTTCACGCTCCAGTAGCTTTACTCTTGGTGCCTATTAAATACGAATCCGGGTGGGCCCTATGGATAATGGCAAGAAAAATTTTCTGTTCCAACCGGGAATCGAATCCCAACGTCTAGCCAGAGACCCATCACTTTGCTGACTGAGAAATCCCGGCCCGTAATGTGTTTTGTTACCGTTCGATTTTCCAAACAGTGTCGGATCATAAGTGAACACAGCTGTAACGCAGATGTGCATTAAGTTATTCGGTTTTTGGCACGCTAGCAACGAAACTTGTAAAAATGCTCCCGTTAGCTTTGTCATATCCTCTCGCACACAAGAACTCGACAATAAATTTCCGCGAAATCTGAAACTAGAAAGTCTTACTAAAATGTGACAAGAAACTCCAATTTTGGTTAAAATCCGACAATAACGGAACACTAAACATGAAAAACTGCGTCTCTGCGTGCATATCGAGCGTAGTTCCCTAAAAATATTTATCGAAGCGATCAAAAGTTGTAGAGAAAAACGGAGCACACGGCTTATTCAAATGCGTTTACTGAAACCTTTCCATTTTCGAGACAATGGGAGTTCTATGCTGTCAACCCATAACTGGAAATAACTGAGCTTATTTCGACTAAATTCCATAACTGACGTCATTGCTTGTCGGACCAGTATGTTTTATGCTATTTATAAATAGCGTACCGAACATTGGCATTCACCAAAGGAAAACTTAGTGGCAATAACATAGCATACGCGCCAGAGAAATTACAATATACGTACATTTCTTACCTTGCTGTGTATTCCACACACACACAATTATCCTACAATAAAAGTGGAAACGTAGACACAAAAGGAATGGACACATTTCCCCAGCATCTCATGTCCATTTACAATCTGCATAAATCGATTTCGCTTTAATTTGGCTATAAAGTACGATGAAATTAGAAAAAATCGATAGATTGATAGAGATCGAAATATGGATGGAGAGACAGACAGGCAAACAGGCAGATACAGAGATGGGGAAAGGCAAGAAACAAAAATAGAAAAGTTCTACGAAAAATAAACACGAAAGAAAGATATCCAAGAAGAAATTAATTGGTAAGAATACAATTACTGTTTTACCACAAAAATTTCAGGGTCTCATTCATCATTCAGAACCAAAACACATGCGCACAACACAACATAAGCCTCTAACTAAAACCCGACATTATCGCTGCACACTGACGTCAAAGTTCTGTGTCCGCGGACGCAACTAGTTTTACTGACGACACAAAGCAAACAATAAAACCGAAAACTTGGCAAATGCTGTGATAACGAATGGTTCATAGGGCAACAAATGTGCTGTGGCATAACCTCCCTGTCCTGTCAGGCTGTAAGGGCATGGCATTTTATACAGAAGCACCCAAATGGTGATTTCCATTCTGCCCGTACGGATGGGACGATAATGAAGATAATGACCGTCAAACGGGACCCACAACTTAACGCTGGAACTGAAATAACGGTGAGGAAGTCACTGCCTCCTACTCACAAGGTCCCGATGTCTCGAAACAGACACACGTCTTGATACTTCTTCGTCAGTTGTTACGGATTCGGCCTTTTCCAGTTCAGAATTACCAGACATTATGAACCCGCGCAGACATTTGCTAACGATTTCTAGGACGGGTGATCAGCCCGACTCAAGGTCTCTACCTACACAGTAGATTGGAAACCAGAATCCGATCGGCCAAGATCCATGGCTTAAACAGCCACGTCCAGGTTACAAATTAAAATAAACGGTATTAAGCGTTCCTATAAACCTCCCAAAAAAACCATATTAACCCGCGCATTGTTAAATAATGGTGATTACGATCCTGATCACCGATTACAAACACAATTTTATATATCTAACATCCATTCAAATACTATTCTCACATCTAACATAATCATAAAGGTTTCAAAAAAGTTTAATGGATCAATGGTTTAATATTTTTAACTTTCCAAAACTGGGGCGTGCATTATATTCGGACAAATGGGCAACAGAACTTCAGACACAGAGACAATAAATTCCAAAATGAAGTTACTGGACAAGCCCTGTTGCAAATTCCAATTACGTGAGCTCTTTGTTTGAGGTACAATGGGACAAAGAATATTAAGCGTTCTCATCTCCGACAGAGTTAACAGCCACTTTCGGCCGTACAATGGGATACAATTTGATCGAAATAAATTACAGCTTTGTTACCTCAGCGACAGACATCCACAACCCTTGCAGCTACAATGCACTGAAGTGAGAAGACCTAACTCATTGGGAATACGAGGTCTGACGATCAAACAAGTGGGCTCGTGTGAGATTTCATTCCCTCAAGGTGGCGAGTAGGAAGATGACCGCCTTCTGGGATACTATACACCGTGCAGTCTCGTGGAAGTTGACCGAAGTTTGACAATGACTCCGTGTACTGCCTCCGTCATCGCCCTTATAATGGACGCAGCACGCACCTTTGAAAAGTCAGTCAACTTCCATTAGACTACACGGCGCAACAACCCAGAGAACATCCATCTTATAATTATAATTATCAGACCTTGCAGCACACAGAACTTGGTCTCTATCTATAATAACCTTCTGTTTGAAATTCTCCATGGTAATGTACGATTTCAACTGTTCAAACGCCAAGAAGGGTGAGTTGATTCACCTGATAAGAGACGGCAGGAGACTTTTTCACTGTTCTTAATCTAGCGCGTAGCAATAGAAGTTAATATTACACAAGATGACTTCCCTCTTTGTAACAGCTGCCTCGCATGCATTCACTTGTCCGATCATTAAAGTTTGTCGATTAAAGGTCACAAAGAAGCCAAAGGGTAAACGAAAAAAAATGCATTAATAAGTTACAGCTCTATCAACCTGTTGCCTTCCCCACGGTAGAAACCACCGCTCAAAAGGATAAGCACGCTGAGGTCAAACTCATTTCACAACCAACATATCAGCATATCGGAGAAGGGCTAATTCTGATATAAAATATTCCGAAAAGATATGTATTCCAAATTGGAGTACACACTTCCACTCGTTGTTTATATATGAGGATTTTAGTGTTAAATATGGGTTCCGCCACTGCGTCAAAATAGTTGCAGTTTACTGGTCAAAACGTTCCAGGCACTAATTAACTAATCGTACCGATCCACGTCAATCAATCTGAATGAAAAGTGGTGTCTGGCATTACCGATTCCATTACACAACAGAATGCATTAGCCCACACGGCTCAGGTAAACTGTTATCGGCCGTAATAAACATAAGGCTTAGCATATATGCAACGATCGGACGAAACGTCGGGATTACATACATATCGAAGCAACTGTTAATGACAGCCTCAAAAACGTATCTTCAAAAATGTGTATTATTTAATTCCGATTTCGAATATGTCTGAAAACAAATCAGTATCTTCTTGCGTGGCATTTCACGAATGAGTCTGCCTTGCTCTGTTCCTATTCAGAATGTATTCAAAGTATGAGTCCTCCGACATACGGTAGTACTTCCTGGACGGGAATTCCCTAATAGCTAATAAGTACTATCTAATAACAAGGATACAAATCCGCGTGCCCCGAGAAGGATTATAACACGCATTTCTGGTATTCCAGCGGTAAAATCCGACTGAGACTTGAAACAGAAACCAAGGTTAAAATATCTCGCGAACGATGGCATAATTATACTTGTCGCAAGATATCTCCGAGCTTCGCCGACTGTTACAAATACGCATTCGGAGCGAGAGGGAAAGCGATAGCCCCCCTCCCGACCTCTCCATCAGCAATGCCCCTCTTAACATGATGACTCGGACTGGTAGATATTCTGCGTCGTCGTCTCCACAATAAAGGGACAGTTACCACGACGACGCTGGCTTCTAGTGCATTTACACAATCCATATATTAATATATGGAAACATACGTAAGTCACGCCATGCAGGGATGCAAGGCAAAAACATTCCAAGCATCTGTTGTCAGACCCTAACATCGACGCTGGGTGGAGAAAGGCGGTCACTTTCTCCTACTTCTTGCCGCCGATAACGGAGTCCTGGTTGCATAATTATTAAGAGTCGGTCAAGGAGACAGCCTTGGATATGACGGTCAAAAAGGAAGTCTGTTCCTGACCGGAATCGAACCCCGCTGTTATCACACAACATTCGAAAGACATTAAAACACAGTAAAGTCATTACTGCTCAGAATTTCACATAGCCTACCTTACAAAGATATTAGTCGCTGGAATGGCTACTTCAGCTCAAATGGGACAAATACACAAGTGCGCGATGATGCATTGTATCTCGTTTGCTTATCGAGTAAGACAAGTGGGTTACAATATGGGCATCACCAGAGAACGATCTTATCGCATTTATATCTTCAGTTGGTCGCAGTAGCTTGTGTTAAAGCGACAGATGCCATGAATACAGAATGATAAGTGCTGGACACCGAGATATACAGCTGTCTCGAAGTTCACGAATCTTGTGAACATAAGTGCAGACAACAAAAACGTCATTCTATCTTTCCTCTTCCCGTCCACTTCAAATCAGCGATGGTATCTGTATTAAAATAAGCCACACACAATTCATCTTAACCATCTAATTAACTAAAAACCTCAGCAGTAATAATACCCGAGACTCAACATCGCGTATACCAAAACCAGCTGTTGACCAAAAAGTTGAGCCAGTTTCTTACATCTCATCTTCACATTATTATTTTCCTCTGATCGATATGTTATCACTCCGTCTTCTTTCTGGTCTTCCTAATGGTCGCTTATCAAATACCAACAAATAATACCCAAAAATAATTTAATAAAGTTTTTAATTATTCATCTCCTTACATTTTTCGTTCTTCTATCATTTCATTTTGGGCCCACACGTTCTCTGTAACAATATTTTATTTATTTGTATTTACTTATTGCTTATTTAGCGACGCTTTCAGTATCTTGTCTATACAGCGTCAGATGAGAGGATAACAGTGAATAATGAATTGCAAAGGGTGTGGAAGAACGTGGTCGTCTCCTAATTAGAGACTTTTGCCTGGAAAAACTGAGAGAAAACACGAAAAACCTGAGTCATTGTAGCCGGTCTCCGGGTCGAAATGTAACTCTGTCAAAACTAAATAAAATGACACAAAGTACAAACGAGTGAAAAGATTTCTTTGTTCTGTTCCTGGGGGAGATGTGTGCTTCAGACCTCGAGCATGAGCAATGGACCGACCGTCTTAAAGAATCATAAAATACGCACAGCGACCGGAATCTGACAAAATAAATCTAAAAACTCACTGCAATCGGAACAATTGGGGGGCACTACGTTACAAGCCACATTAACGTTCGAAGAATGATTACAAATTTAAGTAACTTACAAGACGTTATAAAATAAAGTTACTTGCAATATTTGAAAAAATAAAAGAAAGTTAACGCAGGTTTCGCTACTGTAGGTATTACTCTCCAGATTAAGTGACGATAATTAAATTAAAATAAAATATATTACTGAGGGGGAGATGGTCTTTGAATTTGATCCGGAATGAAAAACAGTCACTTCCGTTTCCGATAGCTGCATGCTCCTTCAACTCCTTCTCTTTTATTCCTTCTTTATTCCTTTAATATTAAACAGAAAAACACGAAACTAAAACGAACTGCAGTGCAAATGCCATAGAACTCCGAGTTTCGGCTGACTTTTCAGTCTAACAAAATTCCTTTCGTGTGTGTGTGTGTGGCGGGGGGGGGGGGGGGGGTTCTTGTAAAATGTGTGAAGCAGTAAAGTTTAAACTTACTTTTTTTAAAAGTTGCTTCGACTGCTTTATGATAACTTTAGTGGATCTAAAGTTATACCCATTTACCAATCATGATGGTTTACAAATCACAAGTACGGAACTAATACTATGAAGGAAAAAGTGTCCAGTATTTCTAAATGGCTGCTAACCAAATGTTTCGACTTCTATCCACCCATGTTCCTGCAAGCTATTCTGCCCTCGGATTTATTTTCTTAGTTCCTTATAGTGGCCTTTGCTCTTAAAATATCGTGCAAGATAGTCAAAAGGACACACTGAATCACGCTACTGCAATTTAAGTGCACGCTAAGGGCAGCGCTGGAGCAACTCCCACCCGCCTGACTACGTAAATTACCTCCGGTTTCCGATGAAACTGGAGTAATATGAAAAACGGCAATACTGACGCATAAAGTAACAATGTTGAAGTGCGCTCTAATATGGCGTCACTCCTTTGAGGGGTGTACAGCCACACGTTTCCTTGTCTTGCAGCCAAGCAATTATCTAATCCTTTCTCCACTCCAGAAGGACACTGTGGCAAGGAGCACTGTCCATCGCAATAGCTGAAGGTTCTTCTCAATTTTGCCGAAGTTGAGTAAGCATCCAATGCTCAAAATTTTTCCCATTCATCAAATCATTGGAGTTTCATGAATTTGTCCCTGAAACAAAAATTAAACTTGCACTAGAAACAAATCCATCTTGTGCCCCAGCATGCAAGATAATGTAACTGGTACTTGCTATTGGTCTCCTCTTCTTAACAGACTAGTAACATCACTCCACACTTTGGATTCACTGCCTTCCATTCACAAACAACAAAGTTTCATCAACGAACGCTACGTGATATAGAATCTCAGAATTAGTATTTTCAACCTAACCCCCCTTAAAAACTGATATGACTAGCAGCAGCGCGTGGCTGTTCAAAAATATACTGTAAAATAAGTACAAGTAAGAATCCAAGGTTCTAATATTTACATAAATGCTATTAATAAACTATATGTTAACTATCTCCAAGATAAGAACATTTCTCAATATTACCCAATCATGAAACTGAAAAGTGTATTCAGAGGCAGACAGAATAATTTTATCAATGATGTCATAACTACGTAATTTATATTTGTACTAGAAACAGGTATTTGTGCTATGATATACTATTCTACAACCATGGGCCTACGAGAAATCTATGGAATGTAAATAAATTATATTCTCACTTGCTATCAAATTTCCCAAAGCTGAAGCCTATGACTCTCAGTGTGCCATTTCCATCATTATGAAAATAATATCATTATCCCTATGTCCCTTAGAATGTTCCTGATTCAATACAGATTCGCCTACATAAAACATTACATAACTATGCATACATGATACGAGCTTCAATGTCCAAGGCCCAACAGCATTTAATGTCACTTCGTTTAAACAAAACACCTTTTAATTTAACCTGATTTAAGCAAACATAAACACACAAAAATGAAAGATTTTCCCTCTCACACAAAAACACACACACATACGCGTGTTTAGATATATTATTCTAAACTATATTATACTTTACTATAACAATAACTGTTGAAAACAAAACAATTTCTTACCTGGTATAGCACAAACACGCTGTGTGAGGAAATATTGGCAATTTCTCATTTTAAAACTTTCTTCTTTGAAGGAAGAATGCGTATTTCTTATAGCCTTCATAAACTAAGAATTCATTAAAACGAAGTCTTTAGCCACGATGAACTGAACATGTGGGTATCACAGATGGTTGTCAAACAAAGAAAACATTCCTGACTTTGAAGTGTGTTACAAACAGCACACGAAAAAAGAAACACTTTCAATCTAATACTTAACACTATAAAGATTTAGAATGCTTCTTAAAAAGTGTAGAGGTTATAAAATTACTTCAAAGTAGGAACTCTTTTCCTTGGCGGTCTTATTAACAGGAAAAAGGAACATGTATTCAATCGTGCTATATTCAAGTAATTTACCAGAAATAACACACACTTTGCAGTTTTTCAATCATAAGTACAGTTTCTTCGTTCAAAGTCAATTCAAAGGATATTGTTTACAAATGCCTTCGGTTTCGTGAAGGTTAGTATGAAATTGATAAAAACAGAAACGCCATACGGCAGATATCGTTGAACAAACATGACTACATCCGCTAGGTTGCCTACACAAGGTATGACGAAACTACCTTCGTCGTACACACGGGAGGCATTATGTAAGCCTACGTCTACCGGCCCATGTGATTCGTCTGAAAGTGTCTGAGGGCTCGCTCACCCTGGGCAAGTTGCTTGACTGCAAGTACTGGCGTCAACAAACGTAATTGGTACTCGTGTCCGTGCAGATGTTGCCTTCCTACCGAGTGAAATACCCAATTGTATTGGAAAAAGGTGGAAGATACCCGTTTGCGCAAGGAAACACATTACGAAATGGAAACAGCTCGTTGCATCTAACAAGTCTGCCTACACTCATGAAGAAGTTGGCTTCAGAAGATGAATAATTCCATAAAAATCACCCCACGGTAATTTTTGGCATGTAGAAACCATTAGTTCTTGCGCCACATTCGTCCACACTGTACACTGTTTTCATCGCCTTAATTTTTCTTCGAACGCAAACAGCAAGTTAACCCTTCAGTTCCAACTTCCTCAAGTATCTGTTCATTCCTTTAATTCTCGCATTTCTGTAGCGACAGTCAACTTAGCACTTTCAACGTTCCCTAACTTTTCGTACACTTAAAAAAATGTGCAAATGTCGTCATAACTCCGCTTAAACACTCATTTTGTGAACGCATACAACAATAAATGTTGCTGACAACAAATTCTAGTCCATCAGTCCGCTTTCCAATTATACCAGCAGAAAAACAGCTGTTTTCGTACGTTCCAAGAGAGCCAAGTAGTAGTTGACATTTTTCAGTTTAAATCAAGTAAGAAGTTGAACTGGTTTCTACTTTACATGAAGTAGTTCCTTGCAGACTTTGGAGGTTCTTGACACAACGTTCACATGAGTCAAGCCTTTTCATTTTGTTTGTTTGTTTTGTTTTCAAGCAACTTGTACCATAATTTTGTTTGGCTCTAATACGATAACACTGAATAGGCTCTACGCACATTTCTTTCACGTTAAATTGTCAACAGCATCAAAAAGCATTCTCAGCAAATGACATGCCAACTGGTGTTGAATGCACTCCACGCTGACATAGTGCACAGTATGATTCAGAAGTAATGTATTATTTTCCATCTATGCCTATGCGTCCCACGAGGTCTCTTACTTAAAGATATTATTAACAATATTCATACTACTCTACTTCACCATGCGTGCTGCACGTACCTCCCACCACTTTCTTGATTTAATCATTGCAACAACTGCAGGTGAGGGTACAAACTGAGAAGTTTCTCATCTAGGCCAATAAAGTATTAAAAAACTTCAACCCCAACTCTGTTGCCTTTTCCTTGTAATCGTATATTCGTGTTATGCCTGGATTGGGTACACAAAATTATTGGTATTTATCAACTCTTATTAGCTGAAGTTACAGCTGTCAAAAGTTTGTTTGGTTTCAGACAGAAGTTCAACAGCTCGAAGCAAACACTCGGACGAACAAACATTCTCTGGCCACACATACTCTTTATTTTATTTACATGTTCAGATATGAGATTAATTATCTCCTGTTTAAAGCGTTGTCTTTCAGCAGGCTCGTTTCTGCTTTCTGTGGCAAGGACATATCAAGATTCAGAAGCATAAGATTCTAAAGGCCACTTCTCGAACTGAACTTCTACTTGAATTCTCCCGACTCCTTTAAAATAACTAAACTATACATGCCAACATGGCACTTCAATTACAAATATTCCATTCACTTCACTCACGCGCAAAGCTTACATGGAGAGGCTAATCCACTGGCAGCAACATAAACCAGGAAAGTAGCGGAAAAATCTTTTCCGTGAAAAGACCGGTTTTACCTCGTTCTTATCTCACAGGACATCGTGATTAGGGTAATTACAATGACGCAGGTGGAGTAAGAAGAAAGAACTGGGGGACCCGTTTATTCCTTCACTGAGCCAGTGACCCACAATACTTTGACCTCCCAAGGCACAAGATACAGAGACCATAAAATTATATACGTCGCTGGCTGCCACCTCCGCTTCTTTCATTCTGAAATTCACTTTCTTACCAGAAATCCACTTTCCCTGCTTTCCTTTATACGACAGCACCGCTGAAGAATTCAAACGGCAAAATCCTTCTCTGCCCACGAGACAAATTACGACTCGGGCAGTGATTCGAACCCCATTTCTCACGATCCGAAGCAAGTGTCAACAATTCAGTCTCGCCCTTCAGCGCACCATCTCGAGTTCAAATTCCTTGGCCCATACAAAGGAAGGGCGTTGCAACAACAGAATGACGTTAATTAACAACTTCACTGAAAATTAACGGTCCTCTACAGATCAATTTCAAGTGGCTTGCCGGCTTTTAAAATATTCAAGGTCATATGAAGGTCATTTTTTCAAACGCATTTTTCTGCCTATATATAGGGATCTGAGTGTCAATACTCATGTCAGATAGAAGTAACGCACACGCCACTGTCATGTCATAGTCACGACAATACCAGTCGGTGGGTTTTCCGAATAGAGGCTTTTAAAGATCTCAAGGTCATTCGAAGGTCATATTTTCAAACGAGTATTTATAGAGATCTCAGTGTCAATACTCTTGTCAGTTTGAGGTCACGGACAGGTCATCGTCATGCCATAGTCACGACAAAATTAGTCCAAGGGTTTTCCGAAGAGAGGCCTTTAAAATACCCAAGGTTTTTAAAAATTCATTTTTTCAAACACATATTTCTGCCGATCTGTAGGAATATGGGTGGCAATACTCATGCCAGTTTGAGGGCACGGACAGGTCATCGTCATGCCATAGTCACGACAAAATTAGTCCAGGGGTTTTCCGAAGAGAGGCCTTTAAAATATTCATGGTATTTCGAAAGTCATTTTTTCAAACGAATATTTCTGCCGATCTGTAGGAATATGGGTGGCAATACTCATGCCAGTTTGAGGGCACGGACAGGTCATCGTCATGCCATAGTCACGACAAAATTAGTCCAGGGGTTTTCCGAAGAGAGGCCTTTAAAATATTCATGGTATTTCGAAAGTCATTTTTTCAAACGAATATTTCTGCCGATCTGTAGGAATATGGGTGGCAATACTGATGCCAGTTTGAGGTCACGGACAGGTCATCGTCATACCATAGTCACGACAAAATTAGGCCAGGGGTTTTCCGAAGAGGGGCCTTTAAAATATTCATGGTATTTCGAAAATCATTTTTTCAAACGCATATTTCTGCCGATCTGTAGGAACCTGAATGACTATATCCTTGTCAGTCTTAGGTCATGGATAGGTGAACCTCAAGATCAGTAGAAGATTTGTCCAAGGTTTTGAGGAATATAGGCAGTGGCGGCCCGACCATAAGAGTTGCAGAGCTGCAGCACCCCCTAAAATGTTTCAAAAATTGAAACATTTATTTTTTGTGTTTATATAATTTGTAACACTTTATTTTCTCTATTTCATTATTTTCATATTGTCCCTTACGTTGTCATTATCCACTAATCAGCTGAACTGATAGTAAGTCCACGGGCTAGGAGTGCGAAGCAGAACGGTTTTGCGATGGGTTAGGTTGTATCCTGGACATTTTCTAGCGTGTTCATCGGGTGGTCATGGGGATGTCTTGGAGAAGTGCTGGAGAAATCCTGGACAAGGAGTCGGAGTGAAGTCAGAGATTTTACTACCGACTCCACAGCACTGATTAATATTCCTTTCCCATGTGGATGTGTGTGGTTCAGAGACCCAAAACAAAACCACGTGTCACATTCTACTAGTCACCATACATGAAATCACTCCATTAAGTTTATTCTTGCGAATTTAAAAGAATATTTTAAAATTCTGAAGATTGCATATAATTAAGTGTATACAAATAAAATATGAGTAAAAGTTACAATTAATTATATAATACATACTAAGTTTCCAAAAGCATGTAAAAAAAGACTACAAAAGACTAAATTTCTCGCACTCACCACCTTGAAAACCACAAATATCAGTGAAAGTACTGTGCAAAATAACTTTAATCTTATTCAACCAAATCAGCAGTTAACAGCCCCTAGAATTTAATTTTAGGTGGGAGATAGTATGGAAAATCAACTGTAGACTACAGAGTAGAGGCAATTTAGCCATCAGTTCTCACTCTAGAAATGTTCCTGACCTGGACCAGTCATAAATCTGCCAGTTCATGGGATTTTAAAAATATGACATGAAACAGCTCTCAAAGACAATATACATTTACCACGTCAAATGTGATTAAAAGAATCAAATCATACATCATCACGCACTTATTTTTTCAAAATCAGTTAAAGGCAAAGAATATAATTTAGTGATATAGCTTTAAAAGTGTACTAACAATAGTGTATTACACTCAATACTGCTGTTCTTCTGGACTTATTCGCCGTTTAAAATTTTAAACCAACAGCACTACATTTCAGGACCTGCTCCTATCTTATGGTGAAAATACCAATATTGGTGGGTCTGACAGAAGGGCTAATCCCACGATTTAATAGCTCTCTGCCAGTATAACCCTAAGTTCTAACACTACTTTTTTCCAAGACCGATGAATACGATCCAGAGCCACATCCACCCATCTCCCTAATCATTCAATTGGCTGCTTTTGTTGAGGTTTCCCCACCAACAGTCTGCATGCATTTCTTGTCTCTTATCCAAGTAATATGACCAGTCCATGCCCATCTCCTCAAGGAAACTGTCCCATATATATTTACAATCACTAAATTTGTCATTGTGTACTATCCACTATAACCCACTTACTTAATTTTCGACTTCATGCATTTTCGTGGGCACTTGGTTACAGACACTTGCGATGATTGTGTGTTCAAGTTCTGACTGGCTAAAATTGCAGTACAAAGTTTTACAAGAAATAAGTAATATGTGGCACCTGTAACAAGATCTACAAACTGAAACAACAAATTAACTACGTTTGTGGGTAAACCCCACATTTTTTACAGTGAAGTGAATCAGTTAGTGCTAAACTACATGAGGAATATGAGCCTGCAGATCTGAAGGGCTGATATTCGAATTGGGCATTTGGTACGACCACTGTCATATTCAGTTTACTTTGTATGCGATTAAAATCTGCAAGCTGTAAGCTAAATTTTCTCGCCAAGTACAGTACTGATACCGTTACACAACGCATTAATGGTAGCGTTCATGCTTAGATGGCGAAACAGGTACTTGGCGCCTGATAAACACAAAATGACGTCATATGCGCACCGTGTGACATTGCCTTCAGATATCACGTGGGGACATCGATCCGGCCGTCTGGACTCGGGAGCCTAGACTTTCCTCTACACTTCGGGAAACGAGAGCCTCTCCCACGACTTACACAGCGCCAGCTTACGTGAAACACAACCACCAATTACAGCACAAATAAGGCAATGTTTATGGATTCTTCTCCCCAGTTTTACACGCAGACCATGATACTGCTATGACATCAGTGCTATAAAACCGACAACAAATGCTGTTCCTGTAAGTCATCATCTAACTTTTAAACCGTTTGCATGTGTGTAGGGCGGTTAGCAGAACTCAGGCTGAAATACATTTCACACGCAATTCAAATTTTAATTACGATCTTTCCAAGAATACTTGCTGTGAGCCCCTAAAAATCCTATTAAATAACAAAGCAACTTATGGCAACTCAATAAAACATACTTCAGACACTGATATTCAAAACCTATACGCATTCCGAGAACTTATACAACTTCCCTACTATGAAGCATTACCATGCAAATATAAATTAATACTGCCAACACACGAGTCTACCTTAAGTCATCCAAATTAGCATTGGTTGTAAAATATAAATAGACATCAATCACTTACTCACCGTTCAAGGACCAAATATGAGATGGCAAAGAGTGAGCAGTATAAACCCTTCCAAGACTGATGTTAGCTGCTAATGGACTGTCCAAGACATGATCTTCCGTCGAACTGCTGTCAGTTTCTGGGGATTCGGATATGTCATATGCTCCAATATTAGAGTTCGGTATTCCTATTGCTTCATGACTTGAATGACTATCTGGTACACTGGACAGAGAACGAGCTCTTTGTCTGTCACTAGACACTGCACCAGGAATTGCGCGGAGAAGACTAAATCCTGTACCTCCTGCAACTACATCCGAGTTACTGCTAGTTGAAAAAGTTCGAGCTCGAGGGCTTGTTCCTCCACCATTTGCTGTACTCGCTTTAGCACCCATTAGACTTACAGAATTTTAATTGTCTGTAAAAAAACGAATTATATATTTAATATGTGCTAAGTGCCGGAATCTCGAAGAAGATAACACCAATTCATATCATTAAACCGCAGACTACACACCACCCACAATAACAATCGGCCATACTGCGAATGGCTACACTAGAGACATCTGAGGTACGCAGATCAGAGATGAACAAGTGATAAACAAATGACACGCGGTTGCAAAGCAACGTTGGTATTAGTCTATGATGACAGGTTAACATCTGTTACCCGATCAATTCAAGTAAATTACAAAGTTTAAATAACTATGAAAGTGTAGATATAATTAAATTCTTCAGAGACGGGCAACTCATGTATCTTCAACTAAATATGAACAATGAATATCAAATTTAATGAAATAATAGTACAATGTTGACATCACACGTTGTGAATCAGCCAAATGTACCGACCCTAATCATTTATCCGACAAATGATACAAATTTATAGGTATTTCAACACTAATATTTACGAAGTGTGGTGCACTGTCTCCCCTCTTCCATGCATCATCATGGTGTGATGCGTAATTAAGCACACGGATGATACCTTTCCGAAGCTATAATCTAAGGGCAAACTTTACTATAATGACGCTACCTTTGTAGCTTCGAAAATTTACATACATAACTTTAAAACTTTTAGTGCTTATAATTTCAAATGCACAAAACAGGTTTCATACAAAATTTGTACTCCAGACTTTTATTCCTGACATTGAAATATAGATTTCACAGACTTTGTGCTATTTTGCCCTGTAACAATGGCAAACATCAATCAGGTTAGTAGATCTCTAGTCTTTGAGCTTTTGTCTCAATTGCTGGAGTCAAATGAAGTAAGGTAGAATAACAGAGATAAATCAGGAAGGTTATGTTTGGAACACACATTGTCTACTTTACAGTGCAGTCCTGTCAAGTCTCTGGGATAAACTCAAGCCATGTGTTCTTCTCAGATGTAAGTAAAAGACTGAAAAAGTGATCAGGAAACACCATCATAAAAAAACTGGAATAATAAAATATGTTAGTATCTGCAACAGCAACAACAACCTGCAATTTATTTGTCTTAGTCATTTTAATAAAGTATGAATAACAAAAACAAAACAATGCTGTAATGATCAGTCTTAACTACTGTTTACTATACTAGAGTGTACTGAAACTTATGCACTAGAACATTTCAGTCATTCCCACTGCCTGAAGTGTGCACAGGGAGCAGTAGCTGACTATAATTCACTAGAATGGCAGTAATTAGGTGGCTGCACTAGTCACTGCTTTATGTTAGATCATATAAAACCCACACCACCACCACTAGCAGTGTCAGAGTCACCACCACACACAACCTGTAAAGGCATACTTCACCTACGTTCTAAAAGATCATTACACACTGGAAATAGTGAGTAATCAAATTGCCTTTTCTCAACATTTTAATATGGTGAAATAATGAATTTTAAATGCAGGAAACTAACAAGCACAGACCTTTGAACACTAATAACTGCTGTAAAGACAGCATGGCACATGTTCAGATGACATGTAGCCACAGCTAGATTAGTATGACACATGTGGTGGTGTTGACATTTTTTTAAATGCTTGCTAATGAAGAGGAAGTGGATATTTGTTTATGGATTCTGTTAGGGGAATGTGGTAGCAGCTCTCCAATAATATAACAGACAATTCTAAAATTGGTAAATGCCAAATCAGGGTGATGCCCCAGTGCTTTTAAGAGTGCTGTGGCACTACACTGGAACTTCTTTTAAATATAATGATGTCAAATATGGGCAGTATATCCTAAATGAAAAATGGATGTAAGCCTTTCTAGGAACCAAGTTTCTGTTTAATTCTGTATTTAAAAGTATGAAAGAGTATAATTAACTAATAAGAATGGCCTCATATTATGATCCTATTAATTTCTTTCAACCTAGAACTATGTCCCAGATCACCCAAACACATTTTACAACTACACATTTAAAAAGGAATATATGCAAAAGATGTAATTGTAAGAAGAATTTGTAGCATTACACTTTTACATCACCATAACAATTTCATAAATTGCTGTTCTCAGGTAAGCAGTTTTTAAAGAACAGGTTTTCCACCACAAGGATGTCATATGCAAGTTTCTGATGACAAATTTTGCCTATCTGAATACTGTTTATCAAGTCAGGTGGTGTCACAAAATGTTCCCTTTCCTTCTCCTAACAACTCCAAGTTCCAACAGTACTTTTGTTTCATTATTTGTGAGATTCATACCCATTGTGACAAAACATTGCATTTATTAAGGCTTCAATATCATAATAAAATGCAGCAATTTAATTTGAAGCAAATTCTGACACTTTCCATTCCAACTCTTAAAAGTTAAGGTGCATGAACAGATTATATGTTCCATATTTTGAACAGTTCCATACATTCAGATGCCATCTGGTGGTAGACTTCAAATCTCTGTGCTCTTAGATATTTTATCATTCTTAATTATATGAGTATGGGGAATTTAAACCCCCAGACTAAATGGCTGCCACACAGAATTTAACTGAAGGTGTTTAAAGGTTTAGTAGTATGCTATTTAAGACTTGAGGTTCTCACAGCGGTGAGTATGAAGATATCCGTCTTCTGGGTTATTGCGCTGTGTAGTATGCTATTGTCAAGCACAACCAGCTGGGATCACATGTAAGCAGTGATACATGGTCAATAAAGTTTACAGGGGTAATTCTGTTACAAATATCAGCAGCCACTGTCCTAACCATAATTACCATACCATAATTATGACATACATCATATAAAAAACTCCATGATTGCAGCCACCTAATAATTACACAAGTGATTAATTTCAGTTTCTCACAGCAGCAAGCAAGCCACTTAACATACTAAGGCATTCAACCTCTTCACTGTGGTGAGCAAGTGCCAATGTTATCTTCCAAGTAATAATGTTATATGGACTTCTACAAGTCCACATAACGTTACTGGTACCTACCTACAAGTTCACAAAGCATTACTACCCAGAAGACCGACACATATATCTTCAGTGCAATGGCAACCTAAAATGTCATAAATGCACTTAATTTTGAGCAAGTAAAGTTAAGGTGATTAGTGAGATTTGAGGTTCTAAGGTCAGTGAATATATCAATGGTGGTCTTCTAAGTTGTAATGCAATGTGGAGTTATAGGTGAGTACCAACATTTCAGAGAAAATACTGCCTCCAAATTCAGCTCTGTAGAATTGTACACCAGTACCAATGAATTCTATCCTTTGGGGAGTTTCTGTCCTTAGGTTTTCACAGCTGAAGTTCAGTGTATAACTTTGACTTTTGGTGATGGGTTGCATCAAATGTGGGCTTTTCAAGTTTCTACCCTTTTCAGGATGTGTACTGGGGGTTTTAGGAAACCTTTTATATAACAAGCAGTAGGTGGTGAGTGAGATGTGAGGAACCTGATTGGTGGAACAGAGGTGCAAATGTCTATGCAGACAGTAGTGAGCACATGGTTAAGAAAGAAGGCAATGAAGTTTTTACAGACATGTAGTAAGGAAAAGACTGGAGAACCAATAATCAGCAGAAACTAATTACTCTGCACCAACTAACCACAACATTGACATTGACAGAGCAGAAGTCACAGCCAATATCCAGACCTACTGCCACTGCATCATCAGTGAAGCAACTGAAATAATCAAAAGCCCCCACAATGTCAACTGCGAAGATACAGAATAAGTAAAGCCTGGCATCACCTCTTTTCCCTCTCAGCCATACATCCAACCACTGAATTTCCCCTCTTCATGTTGTCAACAAAAACTTTTTATCACCTCTTCTCCTTACCATGGCTGCTAAACATTTTTTTGGAACCTCTTCTCATAACCATGTGGCCACTAAAATTTTCTCATCATTCCCTTACACAATGCATATATTCATCAAAACTTCTTTCATCATTTCTTTTCTCATCCACATGCTTGTTACCAATTGGACAGAAGCCCACACCTCTGTTCCACCAATCAGGTCCCTCACATGCCACCTATTGCCTGTTGTATATAAGACTTCCCGAAACCCCCAACACATAATCACCCCAAAGATGGTAATTTTTTTTACATGACAATGTTTCAGAATCCCTTAATCAAACAGGTTCAGATGTCAGTTTTAGGGATGGTGATGGTGAATCTAAATATGTTATTCACATAGTGATCATGAAAGTCATTGAAATTAATTCAGCACTGAAGGAATCACAATAATATGTACAAAGAAGTGGAAAGGTTAATCCACTCATTCCCAATACATGGTCTATCCACAATCTTTGAGAAATTCAGACTTCAGTCCAATTAGATAATTGTGAAACAGTGATTTATAGTTTAGGTAATAACAAATGTAAAAAAGCTTGAGGACAAATTGGCTCACTAGCATTTACCTACATGACTGAAGAGTGAATTTTTAGAGCCTGGATCAAGATGATTCACTTTAACAACATGCATATTATAAGGATCATTCTACAAAAAATAATCTTTTATCATAAATTGTTTTCAAAATCCTCATACTCAAAACATAAGCAACAAATTAAAATATACTCTAACATCACAATCATACATTCTTTAACATTCTTCTAATAATATGAAACAAGATGATGATTACATCATATTTAAAGATTCTGGTAAAGACAAACAATTGTATTTGTGTTCTGAGTTTGTATGTGTGGAACAATATTTCGAGAGCCAATACTTTCTAATTACTACTTTGTACAAAAATTAGGATCATACTATAAACAACTTTGCCAGTTCAATGAGTCATATCCACATAACATTATAATCACAACATAACAGTTCTTATATTCTTCTGACAGAACAATCAAGAAGGATTAAAAACAACATGTCAATACATTATCTTAACTAAAAATGTTGGATAAATTATGACTGTTTCCACTTACATCATAATAACAATGCAACAATATCTTCAAAATTGATTACCTCTTTTCCTACCAGGGAACTGATGAAGTCAATGAAGTAGGTTATACAAGGCCTTGCCACAATCCAGTCAGAACAATACTGAGAGGATATGCTCTATTACATGTATAATGCAAGTTGTATGTTAAGAGATAGCACCACATGTAATAGATACATATCTTGATACCAATTTATTCTGATTATCTTACTCACAAACGTCCGTATCCCTTTAAAATGTAAGTTTTGAGAAACAGTTTACATAACCTGTGCCCACAGGCTTGGCAAGATGCAAAACTATGAGGTTTGTCAGAAATTATTACAAAGTAACTGTGTTATATATTAAGCATACTGATCAATGCTGGTAAAGTATTATGTTTTCTGGTTTACTGTAGTAGTTATTGCACTAGTATCTGTGTAGGACAGAAAATTCTGCATTTTTACCAGTGAGAATGTACATTTACTATATTTTCACAATTATAGCATGCACTTTTCATCCATAAAATACCTTAAAAAACAAAGAAATTGTGCATTGTGTTCACATTCATTAATTCAACAGAATTATGCTAAAAGTCACCACTGAAAGTGCCACTTATTGGAAGAAGCTTATTTTCTTCTACATTACAGCAACAGTGAAATATTTAAAAAACATATTTAATATGCAGCTGTTTCCTAAGCACAGAAACTAATCAATAAATTCTGTACAACTAACAAGTTAAAAAAAGAATATCTTCAGTACAAAGCTTCAAATTTCAGTGCAAACTGAAGTCAGGCAAACACAGTACTTTCTTACATGCTCAATACTATACAACCTTACGGAAAATTTCAAAAAAGTATCAAACCTGAATAAGTTGTTTAGTGGCTTGGGCATTTAATCTGAATACAATACAATTTACATACATGACCTTGAATACAAGATCTACATAAAAAAATCAGCTAAGGGTCCCAACACACTTCACAATAATGGGGAAGTTACATAAGAACCCTAAACTATAACATTACTACATGATTTCAGTAACCGGAGCACCACCCTTCACTTATTAAAAAGGAGGAAGAGCAAATTTTGTTTTCCAAAACATAAATTGGAATGACATTTACAGTGGAAAGTACACTTTGCAGGCCATATAAAAGCAATCTGACCTGAAGAAATCCAGCTAAATCACATCAATTCCAGCACTTAAAAATTATATAAAAAATAACTGCTTACATTTATTACGGCAATTTCCCCTGCATAATTCGTTGGTTATGAGAACTGCTAATCCCACTAGTAATAATTTCCTCATTTCAAAGCTGTTCTGTCTTTTAATTATTAAACATACTTAAAAGAAACTGGTTATATCTTTCAGCACATTATATGTACTGGGAGAATGAAGACATTACTATCACAGGAACATGATTTTTAATGTAATGGAAAATTTTATTGTGGAGTTAGAAGTGAATGCATTATGACTGAAATTAAATTCTATTTCCTTTAAATGCCCAAATTAAAATTTTAATCCTTCATAATTTTATCAGTTTAATATTAGCCCAAAGGGCAACACTAACTGTTGAGAGGGATTGGCTCTGTACACCATAATCATGCAGCTCCTAAGCCACTGTAATGGCTGCTACAAATTATTCCTGTACTCAAACTGGACTGTTCATTTTAGGATGTAATTCACTACTACTTGGACTGAATGTCACAATAGGTATTTTTCTGGACCAACTTGTGATGGTAATTAATGTTCTTAATGCAGAGAATACTGTTCCACTTATCTCTGCTTAGGATGCTTAACAGCGCAAAAAAATTAAATTAATCCTGGTTTTCTGTTAAATAAATATGGACTGAATGCCATACTTTATGAGAGAATGTATATCTTAAGGTATTGATACCTTCAATCCACAGCTCTGTAGAAAAAGCTACCCCAAAAAACAACAAATCTTGCTTAAATTTTGCACTTGCCATTAATGAGTTCCTGTAGACTTCTTTTCACCTCAGATATGGAATAAGAGTCATACAACAGATGATGATTTGGGGATAACTGATCCTGTTTGCACCAATCACAAGATGTTACGAAAAAAAGAAAAACAGGACTGGAACTTTATATAGATTTTGTAATGTTGTTGAACAGTCTTTTACCCCACCATGACTCCAAATCAAATGGTTTAAAATCTGAAAAAGACATAAATGGATATAATTTGCCATCTTACAAATATCAATAAAAAATGAAAATTCTCAGTTCCTAAAAGGTACAATAGATTTAAGTATGTGGCTAAATTTACTTTTGTAAATTCACATATCTGCTTACTCTTCTTGGATGAATAAAAAACACCTTTGTCCACATTCTGACTTTCAATTTGCAATCTCACTCATATTTTTTAGGACCCTGAGGTTAACTAGCCAACCAATTAACTCAAAATGCATAAAGCAGTGTTGTTCTTTAAAAGCAAATAAATAGACATCAGCTAGTATATAAATTCCTCACCGTTTGTGGAAATTTAAGTTTCATCACAATGTTCAAAAAAGCCTCCCTATCCTGGGCTAGATGAATCCAATCCACAACATCCCACCATAATTCTCTAATATAAATTTTAATATTATCCTCCCATCTATGCATAGGTTTCTGAAATGATCTCTCTCTCTCTCTCTCTCTCAACACCAGATTTCCTCCTTCAACCATTTAGACAAATTTTATACCCATACAAAAAATAGGTACAATTACAGTTTTGTACATTTTAAATTTTGCATTTTTAAATAGCAGCCTGATGATGAAAGTTTCTGAAGCACATGGTAGAAAACACTCCCTGAATATAATCTTCACTTAATTTAATCATAATTACAATTTTCCTTTCTTACCATAGTTCCCAAATTTTAAAAGGATTCATAAACTATCTTTATAAAATGGATTTGCCCTGTAGTCTGATGACAACATGAACATACACTAAATTGTCTCTGTGTTTACTTCAGACCTACTTCCTTACTTACACCTAACAGAACTTGTGTCTGTAAATGGTATTTATGTTTTCGCCCAATAAATCAACACAGACCAGCTGGAAATTCAGCAATTTATTTACTTTTCCTGGAATAGTCTGCTGAAAACATTTTCTTCAGTCATTCTTCTCAAAGACTTGGAAGGTGTTAAATGTAGAACAATGCCGAAATAATTTATCTGAGATCTGAACCCATCCGGCATTGTTTATGTAAGTACAGCACAAAATAAAATTAAACACAATTTTAAGCAATAAAATATGTTTGTACTATTACGTAGTGACACAATTCCAACAAGAAAAATAAACCACAGGAGAAGTCCTAAAACTTGCATCTATTCATGTATAACATTGCTGTATTTGATTGAATGTACAACATTAGCTACTGAAATTAGATCATTCTGGAAGATAAATCTTATGTATAACATATAAATCATATGTATAAGTTGAGAACAAGTTAATTACCTTGTAATATTCCATTTGGTTCACCATCATTATGGTACACTATGCATTGAGGTGCATCTGAAACAATATGGTAAAAGAGTACAGAAATGTTACTTTTACATGGCACAAGTCCACTGTACAATAATCTTCCATCAAAAGTTAATAATAATTTAATGAGTCAAGAAATTCCCTGGTTTTATGGAACATGAAGGTTCAATCACCATACTCAGTGACTTGTATAATTAATTTAGTACTGAGAGCGCCAACTCTAGGAACTGGGTAGGACACATCTCAGACATAGTAAATAAGAAATGGTTACAGAAGTTTGGTGGAAAACTTGTTGGAAAGAGCAAAATGGAAGACTAAGATTAACAAACTGAAATCATAAAATTATAACAGATCTTTGAGAAACAAGGTTAGTATGGGAGGCAGACAGAACATTTCAGATGATGAGATTTAATACTGAACCTTCTGGTTCTACCACCAGACAATTAATTAGTTATCAACGAAGAATTTGTACTTACTAGGCTATGCATGATGGACCTGCTCATTTTACCAGTAATGTAAATCAGTCTTTGGGCCCTCACTACATTAATGGATAGGATAAAATAGAGTGGTTCTGTGCAATAACCCAATCTCATACCTGCTGACTACCATTTATGGGGCCAACAGGACAGTCTATTTAAAGGGTCAATATGCAGGAAGAGCTTTGAAGCCTGATTCAAACAGTTGTGTCACAGGATTCAGTTATGCAATCAATGCAATGGAGAGAATTTTCAGCATTTTCTGTAAACATGAAGCTGTTGTTATGATGAAATCTAATAAATGGATGTGGTCATAAAATATGTTACTAGTAACCTGATTTCCTAATGCTTCCCATTATTGCTAACAAAGAGGTTGTGACCATGTGTGTGTAGGAATTTTCTGGCTTGATTTCAGGTTTCTAACATGATCATTACATTTACTGCACATAATTAAGTATCACCCTGTATAATAAGGGAACAATGACAGATTTTTTTTAAAGACAGATGTGGGACAGTAAATTCTTTTAGTGTTATCCAGCATCATCCATGCAATATGTTACTTGCACCTATGAACAGTGAAGGGCACAAGAGGGAAGGCAGCTATTTACATCTGCCCATGTGGCCACCTGCCCGATCACATACTGGGCAGACAGCCAGATGTAATATAGGAACATGCCAGCAATAGTGAACTGCCTTTGAAAAGAAAAGAATTAAAATCTTGGTAGTTTTCCTGTCATTTACATCACAAGTAAAGAAGAAAAATGAGGTGAAATGCAAATGACACAAAAGTAGTGAAGGCCACTGTCACATATATCCCCCAACAAAGCGGCAAAACCTGTTATTTTTACTATTCTGGTTAAAGGTTATTTACAATACCCTAACCTTCTACAAATGCAGCCCTTTCTGTTGTGTTCACATTAACTACAGGTTATACAAACACAAATGCATTAATTCTGTAATATTTTAAGATAAAAGGTAAAAGATAAAGTTGACCTATGCCTTCAGCATTGTCTTGAAGGTTTGTAGGCAGGGTTTGAAATACAGGTAGTCCATTAACTTTACTAAAAATGTATTTACCACCGAAAGTATCTGGGGGGAAAAAAAGGTATTTCACTCTTTCATTGACAAAGTACTTGAAATCAGTTGTACTAACATGGCAACAATATTAACACTCGATATAGAAACTTAAAATGCTATTTCTTTTAAGAATTTGGATTAACACGCAAAACTTTAGCCTACTTCACATTAAATTTTTATGGAATAAAAATTATACTTACAAACTTTGAAATCCAACCAATACAAAACAATTAGAAAAAGAACATAAAAATTAACAGTTCTGATACATTTGCTCTGTTATTGACCCTAGTTTCAGTTCATGAATGCTAACTTTTAATCAACTTGAAAACCATAATAAAACTTATGGGAAAAAGAGTTTTGGGCATAAAGTGTTTGCTTAATTTGTCTCTACAGCTATTGTTTGAAACATTTCTCACTCTAGCAAATACTTACCTACTTATTCTTGACATGTATGCAGTAACATGCAAAGTGTTTGTTATTGTTATTCTGTTTTGACCAAATTTCAATCTGTCAAACAATTTTAGTAAAACTCCCCAATAACTAACACCATAACTAAATGAACGAAGTGAATATACTTACTTGAACTATTCTCTGCTGACTCTTGTTCAAATTCCTTACAAACTTTATCCCAAGCTAGAAAAGAAGCAGATCATCAGTATGATATCCAACGTTAGATGTTCTACTTTGACTTTGGACAAACATACAGAAACAAACTATAAGCTACAAACATGACATTTAATCAGTAAAATATGGTTTTAGACCTTTAATCACAAGAGGCTTAGGAGTTCCAGTTCACACACAGGCTCCCATATCTGATCAAGATCAGAAGTAACATGTCATTAAAGATAACATCTTTCAGAACAAACATTTAGTTTTCTCCAGTCACTGCATGGAGCACACAGTTACATTTTGTGATTCCTTAACATATGCATATGCGTACTGCTTGCTGGGCCAGGTGTAAGGCAGCAGTAGAGTTGCTAGCAGTGAAAAGGTTAGCATAGCATGTACTACACAACCCACAAAATGGTCCAAAGTTTACTAAATGATAACAATGTATCATAAAGTAACTTGATCATTGGACTTGCACATCATCAATTCTTGAACTTTGTGAAGGTCAGATTCAAAGTGCACTGGTGAGAATTGAAAAATTTATTCCTACAATCTGATGTATCTTATGTAAAGACAACCTGTCAAACCAATCTACATCCTCACTTCCAGTATCAAGTTCCAAGCACCAGTGCTTCATTTCAGTCTATTTGTCACATTCAACTCATAATATGAAGTAATGGAAATAGCAAAGCAATATGATTTTGATTTATCTATTTTCATGAGTGGTATATGCTGAATTCAGCATAGGGATAAAATCAATGTCCTTTTACCAATTTGAAAGGCAAGGAATCAATATTTAAATTAAAACATGTTTTGTTGTTAGCAACAGATTTCATGAAGTTTGTTTCGTCAGTATGTAATGTGAGTTTATAGGCTGTAAGTAGGTTTGACGTTATATGATCATATATCTTGCCTCTTGCATTTCCAAATCATTCCACCCAAAGTGCTACACACACAGCTATTAAAATGGCACTTCAAATAGGAAAAAAGTAAATGTGTGCTGTGGTATCATGAGTCTAGGTCTGCAGTTTCAGTGCAAAGGAGATTTCATACAGTCTTTGGATTGAAGCCACAAACAAATATGTAAATTTACAAGTTTAAAAATTGTTTGATCAGACTGGCTGCATTTGTGAAGAAAAAAGCCCTGGAGTTACCAGTCACAATTCATGTGTCTTCCATTCACAGTCCTTCCTGACAAATAAACATGCAACACAACAGTACAGAAGCATTTTGAATTTAAAATTTACAAGTACCAACTGTTGCAACATGTAACTACACTAGATAAAGAAGATCACCACACATTTTGCCCCAAATATCAAGAACTGAAAATGACAAACTTCTTACAGCTCAAACTGTTTTCAGCGATGAAGCCACAATCCAATTATCAGGAAATGTTTATCAATATAACCTGAGAATTTGGAAGAGCAAACAATCTTCATGAAGTTACTGAATATTCCAGAGACAGTCCAAAGTTGAACATGTTTTGTGTTTTATACAAACAGAAATATGTTCAGGCCCTCTTTATTTGCCAAATATACTGTGGCTGGCATAATGTACCTAAACATGTTGCAGAAATTTCTCATGCCTATTCCGAAAGAGGAGGGTCCCAATGATATGCTACTTGAACAAGATGAAACATCTTCACATCTCCACAAGGAAATGATGGGCCACCTTGTTTACCTAACCTTACTTTTAGGGGTACTTCAAGAATGCTGTGTATGTGTCACCACAGGCAACCACTCTGAAGAAATGCAACCAGATTAACAATCTTTACTAAAACTGAATACAGATATGATATCTGACAAGCCACTCATGATGCCCTCATTAAATGAACATCTATAATCACATAACCTACTCAAATATATTTAGATTTCATTCCTGTGTCTTTCAGGTCAAGAACGATGGTATATATTTCATGTCCACATCCTGTATTAAAAATATACTGGAAGAATAATTTAGTCCTCAACAACAGATGTTATGTCAGTCAATGGTTAGTACTCATGTCTTCCACAAGAATGCAGTACAAAGGTAATGAAGAAATGTGAGAAGACACTTTATTACATTTACATCAATTCCAAATTTTAAAACCTTACCTCCTAAAGAACTAACCTATGCCTGTGTTGAGTGTAAAATATTTCAGAGACATAAAAGAGGAAGATCAACTTCTTCAACAACTGACTTTGATGTTATTCCATGATACAACTTTTTAGTGTATTTGTATATCAAAAATTTGCCACAAAGTTATTTTTAAGGATCATGAGTTTTGTAGAAAGCAAGGTTGGTTTCTTCATAAATAGTGTGGCACTGATTCACCAGTCTAATTGAAAAATGTTATGACAAAACCACTGGAAAGCACATTTCATCTTTTGAGAATTAATAATGGAATTGGAACATATTTATATAAGACAAAGCCTGAAAACCAGCAAAATTGTAAGACTCTGAAATAAAAAATGTCAAATAAACTGCAAGAAACAAGGCAGAACAATTTTTAAAAAAATTGTACAATTTTATAGACTTGTGTAAAAGTAATAGCTATGAAGAAAAATAAAATTAATCAATGCAGATGAAGGTACAATAACAATGCTTGAAGAAATAACAGAACTTTTAGTCAAAGTAAAACATGTTAAAGCTCTGGAAGAAAACTTTAAATTGAAACTTATAATTTTTATATGAAGTATATGTCACTTGAAACATTCCAGATAAACTAAAAAGTAAACATGATGTCACTAAAAGAAAAAAGAAAAGACAAAATACCCATACAATTAAATTATGCAGAGGAATAATCTTACTGAACACATACTATGGATTATATTAATAATTTTAAAGAATAAATGCAGTTTATATCTGATGCCTGAAATGGCTTTCAAAGAAACCCTTCATGCACTGACTCAGTATTTTCATTAAAACTACTGATTTAAAAGTAAGCGTGCAATTCAAACACACACTTAATATTTCTGGATTGTGAAAAAGCATTAAAGAATATGCTGTAACTCACACATTATTGACATAGTGAAACACAAAAATATCCCAAAACAATTACTGCAAGCCACTGTGTGCATACAATATGTAAAGTATCCAGAATTTTTGTATCAACATTTATTGATCATGGTTTCTGCTAAGCATTCACATTATCACACATTTAAAAGAACACTTACATGAAATACTATATAGAAGGAAATACATAATTAAAAATACAAACATCAAGAGACAAATGTTTAAACAGACTTCCTAGGCTACAACGTTTCAAAACATGTAAATTAAGAAATCTGAGATAACCTTTAAAGAGAATTATGGCCAACTGAACCCAGAATACGTCAACAAGTGCCCTTACTCTTTGCAAGTTATATGATGATAATGATGATGAAAATTTGGTTAGGTTAAAGTGCAAAATTCCCAAATTATCCACAATCCTGAGGACTTTACAGTACTCCTTAATGCTTAGGTTGGAAGACGCAGACTAACCTTAGGATACTCTTTCTATTGTGAGAAAGAAAGGAACATCACACAGAAATTAAAACGACGTTAAGATGCTAAAGATTAATGCAATTATCGTCCATGCTTTTGAGTCCATATGTAGTAAATGGAAAGTGTTTAACTCACATTCATATATAAAGCTGATAAGCTCCGCATGTTCGGGGCTGATAACCTCTTGCTGTGCTCTCAGACTACTTGATTTCTTAGCATTTACACTATGAAATACTGGCTTGGGTACACTATAGGGAAGAAGAAAATACCATTTGATAAATGTAACTTTAATTTCTTCGAAAACATTTGCATGACTTCGCAATTCTGTACCACGGCCACGGTTTATTATTCCATCAAAGATCCTTACATAACCATTACTATTCAAACAAATTGTAATATTAAATCAGTGGTTAACTCAACACTATAAAAACATGCTTTCACAATGCGTAAGTTAAAAATAAACAACATATCCACTTACTTAATCACTTGTCCCACTTCTGGTTCCGGAGGTTTTTTCGAAAGTTGATCTCTATTCGTATCCAACCTCTCTAGATTCTGCGTGTGTGCGATCCCTGAAAATTGTATTGTTTTCCATTATAAAAAAAAGAACATGATTACAGGGCATGAAGGATTATTCCAAAAGAGCGTATAGAAACATTCGTAACGTACCCCTTCTCGTTTTCGCAACGATTTTACTTGGACCTTTTGAGACAGTGTACATCTTCCCTCTGCGCAATCTGGCCAGAAACTGCTCCTGGTTCTGTAGTCAACATAAGTTGGTATTATGTGTGATAGAATCCATTACAACGCAATGCAATGTGGGAGACTATGAGCACATTTGGTCGCGTCTGATGACTCCAGTCCGAGTACAAATAAAAAAATTCTTGACTAGTATAGATCAAACATGTATAATCGCCGTTGTATATACAGAGATCATAAGTATTGTATAAATATATATTGTAACTAACTATGTACTATATTATAATATATGTCGCTGTCATCGTATTTATATTGGCACTGCTGGTGTAGTGGTATCATGCAAGATTCCCATTCTTGCGACCCGGGTTCGATTCCCGGGCAGTGCACTTTTTTCCTCTACATCGCCTAATTTTTAACCATGTGTTATTTATTACATGCTGCCCATGAATATTCTGATAACGTTTTATCTACTAAATATTACCTGCAAGGTCTTCTGGTCTGCAATGACTTTAAAATAGCCCCACCTTGTCCCCAATTAAAAATAATTGCATCTTACATTACTACATGCAAAGTAATCCAACACAGCCAACTACAGCATTAGTGGTGTTAAATAATGATATCACTATTGCAATTGCCTGTTCATTTTCTAGTTACATAATACTGAAATTAGAATTATAGATATAGCTTTATCAGCCATTGATAACCCCCCATAATTTTTCCTACAGCACTGAGAAACCATATTTTACAAAGGACAGGTTTCTGAAATTCTGGATGTCAGATGTCAATCTGCCCCACACAGATATATCCCTTTTAGATTCATCCAAGCAGTGATGAGACTGGAGAACATAAATATGAGAATACCTTAAAAGGATTAAATACATTTCTTGTTCTCCTTTTTCCCTCTTCCACAACCTCAAATGTTGGTGTATAACAGACACTGAAATAAACAGAAAAATATGCTAATGAAGACCTTAAAATTTCTGGAGCACGATTAAGTGCAATTGTGTAGTCATGTGCACAGTTTTGTATTCAAGTGTCTAGAAGGATTAGAGAATGATACAGTTGATACCAGAGCTAATGGAATGTTATTGTTATTACCATTTTAACTGATGTTCTATTCATAAAAAAACAATGTTTATGGTTTATGGAAAAATAAAGATATAATAATTGTGATCATTTATTTCACTTCCATTTTACTTAAAAAAGATTAACATGAAGATACATAAATGCAGTGCTAAGCAGCACAAGCTGTTTAGTGTAAGTAAATTCACAAGACATGACACTAACATTGTCATTGTAATTACTACTCAACATCATTCTGTAACTGCTGGAAAAATAGGCATAGACGAAGTGCACGTTAAATCACATACAATGGGTAAAAATAATTGAGAAACCAAACAAATTATGCAATGAAGGCAACACATTTTCAAGATTCTGAATGCATCTCCACCTCATCTAGAAATGTTCTGACAAATGATGCCGCAAAATGCAACATTTTATCAACTGAAATCTGTAACTGACACACGTCAAAAAGCAGTTTCTTTAAAATACTTATGTTGCGTAGAGTCTGCTGTTTTAAAGGCTCCTGTAAACAAAGATATCATATTTCAGAAGAAACACAAATGTCTACAAATTTCCTTCATACACAAAAAGAATGCATTGTACAGTATGGTAAATAAAATGTTGATTCAAGAAAATATTCTAAAAATAATAATTTAAACATAAAATATTACGAACTTTACAGATACTAATGTAGAATTTCATGAGAAAAATCTTCAATTAGGCACATGCTCAATATGACTACAGTTTTTTCAACAAATTCTTGGAGATGTGGACCAAAGTTTGTAAAGATGTCATCAGAAATCTTCCTGCATATGGATGTGATGTCTGTAAGATTACCTGTTTTCTTTTGGAAATGACTTCTTTTTCATTAAACCTCACAAGAACAAGCCACATGTTCTAAAACCTGGACTGACTGGTGGCTAAAAATATCCAGGCATGACACTTGGAATTAGAATCTAATGACATGTCATCAGAAACCTTCCTGCACATGGTTGAGAACAGTTTGCATAAAATCCAACAACATAATAGCAATGTGTCGTGTGGCACCACCTTTCAATTATACAAAGATCTTACTAGAAACTGAGAAATGATGTTACTGACATTACAAGGTTAGGAAGGACTAGACTAAGATGGTTTACCATTTCTTGCAGGTTCTCATCCCATTTAACATCTGAAAGCTTGCAGAAGCAGTCAATAATGCTCACTTTAAAGTTACATAGTTCCTGAAGACCTTTAACTAGATTTATGAATGTTCTGAAAAAAAGACAGACATTCTTTTAACACTTTGACCCTGATATTATCTTCAGTTTATATATATGCATAAAAACACATCACCAGATATAAATATTTCACAGCCTGATAGGTATCCCCACTGGGATACAAATGAGTGATTGCCACATGAGTAATAATGAAGTAGTAAATATTTTAATTTTGAGGGGAAGAAAAAACACTTTTTGAATAGATATGTGGGCTTCAGAAAAGAAACAAATTTTCTGGGCTAATTTCTGTCTTCTTTACATGAGGACAGTTTCTATTCCATAACTTTAGGGTTAGCTGTTTAAAAGATATGTACAATTGTTCATAAGGATGTGTGGAATTTAAAAGCCTGGAATTAAAATTGTCCAGAAAGGGATTCACTGGCTATTTAAATTGTGTACCATACAGAACAATAACACTTGCTTAACTGCAAACATCCTTAACTAAGGTTAAATAGTGTATTTTCTTTTGTGGGTTATGTAATGACATCAGAAGCTAAAACTAGAGTATTGATGAAGGAATGGTTAATGAATAATGAAGTGGAAAGGACACGATCATGGCCTAATTTAAGGTACTATCCAAGCATTCGCTGGAGGAACTAAGGGAAACCATGAAAACCTCATGCAGTAGATTTGAATCTGGGCTCTCCAGAATATGAAGAAGAAGACAGCAGGTTCAAACCTTAAACGAGAAACTATGGGAGGACTGTGAATGATAAACAGAGACACATGTGAAAGGAAACAGTTGTCATCTATTTCAAGGTACTATCCAAAAATTTGACTTGTGACACTGAAGAAACAAACAAAAATCTCTATCTGGGTAGCTGGGACAGTGGATCTGTAAAATATGACAGATCATTACTAACCACAAAGCTGCAAAATTTGGCCCATGGTAAGAATTAGGATACAGGGGAGTAATTAATATGAGCTTGGAGAATCTATGGTAAATACCTGTGTAGATGAACTGGAATATGAATGGATTCTTCCTTGGGAGCATTCTGCAGCAAGTGAAGGATCACATGTTTCTTACACAATATGATCGCCAGATCAGTGTTCATTCTTTTTACCACACTAATGCTGTCAGCTGAAGAAACAGAATACTACTAAATACAATGCTAGTTCTTAGTTTCTCAATCTCTTCCATATGGGAACACTAAAATATACTTCAATATACGAGGCGCGTCCTCAAAGTAAGTTTCCCTGGGGCCGTTTACAGAAACAAAACACAATTTCATGGAAATATTTATTGCAACAGATACAGCAAGTGTCCAGCTATTTTTCAACATATTCACCACCGGAATTGAGACATTGGTCATACCGTGGGACCAACGTTTGAATACCTGTGTCGTAGAAGTCGCCCGCCTGGGATTGGAACCACTGTGTGACAACCATCTCCGCCTCTCTGTCATTCTCAAAACGCTGACGCTGACCGGACAGGAATTTCTTGAGGTGTAGGAAAAGATGGAAATCACTGGGAGCGAGGTCCGGGCTGTAGGGTGAATGATTAAACACCTCCCAGCTGAACTCCTGCAGGAGACTTGCTGTCCGTCGAGCCGTGTGCGGCCTAGCGTTATCACTGACCGCACTTCACAGTCGGCGGGAGCTGGAATAAGAACCTCCATCTTCAACAGCTGCAACGATGCTAATGTGAGAACGCGGGAAGTTCCGTTAGTGCATGCGCCATGCTACGTCATTGTTCTATCACGTACGCACAGTCGCTTCGCGCAATATAAGGTTTGCTAGCTGTGGGACGAGTGGGAAACTTACTTTGAGGACGTGCCTCGTATCAAGGGAAATGACAAGTGTTAACTGTGGGCATATACAAGGGCATAAAAAAGACACAGTAGTTTATAAATTCCTATATTTACTGGTGAAATGCACTGATATTAATAAATTTGGTGTCAGAGAACACATAACAGTTGAAAGCTTCAGATTTAAGTAAAAAAACATATTCAGTATTTCAGCAGAATAATTCAAACTTTCTTCTTGTAATTTCACAACTACCTTACTCTTGTTCTGGACCCTTATCCAAGATATGAATGCACGAATGCAGCATGCAAACAGTGGGTATCCCTAAGAATGAAAACCACTTTATAATAAAACTAGGAAACTAAACATCCTGGATATCGATTAGAGATGAAAGTATCATGAAAATGTTTGCTCATGAAATAAAGAACTGCATTTGTCATATGTGGTCTTACCCCATCTTTCTAAAAAACGTTGATTCCATATTCACTACTATGCCTTGAAGAGTTGGACAAAGTGGTCTTGAGGGAGTTCAGCATTAACTGTATCATTCACTGAGAATGATCCAACAACTCCATCAAATAAAACACTGTGAATATTCAAGAATGCAGAAGCATCTCCATGACTGTGTGGTGATTTTCAGTGTAGCATACAAGCATATTCTGTTTATTTATGGCCTGTTTAGGTGGAAGTATACTTCATCACTGTACCATACGTGATGAATAAATGTTGGACTGTCATCATACTAATAACAAAGTGATTCAAGAAAGATAACTCACCTATCTTTGTCACCACCAATCAACTGTTCCATCTGAATATCACAGGGATATTCCTGTGCCCCATGTCCTTAGTCTGCCTAATGCCATAAAATCGATGAGCATCCTAACCCTTCTCATTCCAATCCTAAAGATGGAGGTAACATGTTCCTCCAAAATATTAGTATACAATCAGAAAACTACATGGCACAACCCAAAATACCAAAATACAAAGTTATGGATCTACGTTGTAAGGATGAGTGATGGAGCAAACTCACTTACGACTGTATCTATTGGTTGACTTTGCAGAAGTGAGCATTTGGATTCTATATTCAGTGACTTGGTTTATAGGCATTCAATCAAAGACTTAAAGGTGTCCTCAGAACTGTATGTATAAAGTTTATTTTTAGCCTTACCACACATCTTGAGAAAGAACCTGTTTCTGGCACTAAGATACTGGATATTTTTCTCATGCTCCAGTTTTCTGATTTTCTTCTTCAAAGCACAAATATCCTCCATTATGATCAGTGAATTTTCTGTAGCATGTTTCATAACCTGACAAATAAAGATGCCTTCATCAATATGAATCATACTGACAATAATTATATTACACACTACTCTAGAAAAGAGAACAGGTTCTAAAAATATGCATAGTTAAGTGCATTATTGGGTGTCAAAGCCAAATTTAACTGTTTCCAACATCAAAATCAATCCTCACCCAACAGACAGCATCCTAAGCCATTTTAAACATATCAACAGAGAACTACTGCAACTGGTGCAAGGAAGAAGTGCTGTGGAATGCAAAACAGAATGTTACAACTTAACCTAAAAAAAAAGAACCCTGACCTAATACCTGCCCAGGTGGATGCTGTCTGCAGTACATCAACCTTACTTAGCCTGAAGTTAAAGCCGAAGTCAATTTTTATGTGTTTAATGCAACAAACATACACCTTATTGAAGTACGTGAGTAAGTTCCCCTTACAATCTGCTTTGGTAACAAATTATTACGAAAATCAACTTACCTTAAATTTCCTTTCGGCAACATTTAATTTTGATGGGCTTCCCGCGGATTGTGCTTGAATTATATTATATTCCTTGGCTAGTGACCAAAATACATTTTCTGGTACATTAAAGCTCATACTCGTTAACAGTAGTTCCCACAACAAATTATACCGACGCTTAAAACCGCCCTCAACTTTGATTCTGACCTTCAATCAACCATAGCGCCAACCGTCATGACATGTGCTAAACCAGGATACGCAACATTAGAAATCGAAATTTAACATGGCATTAACGTTTTGTACCAAAATACTCATTCGATCTAACTTTATTAATCTGGGGCTTCTTAAGTTCCAACACTAAACATGTTTGTCATCTACGTTTTAGTAATTTCACCTTAGAAATCTTCATTATGACTAGTTCACGTAACTGTTACGTAAACCGTCCACTATGTATTTCAGCTATTTCACAGCAACGTACCATGTAATGTGCCATAACTGCAAGGAATACTTGTATTTCTTGTATAAAATCGGCTAGCGCCATCAAAATGTTTAAAGTAATTGCAATTAGTTTGAATCATTTAAAGTAAAGTACCAATCTGCATTAATCAATTTCCCTTTGTAAAATTTGGTATTGTATTCGTGGCAAGTCTGACCAATTAATCGAATGTTGTTTATAGCAGTAAAATAAGATGGTAATTAAAATGGTGAATTGTATTTAATAATGTACTCGTCATGGTTGAGTAATTTCAGGGTGTATTGTGACAATTTATCAGTTTATTATATTTGTACGATTTTATTGTCATTCTTGGCTGTTTTCTTGACATGGTGGCTGCAAGACACTGAACGAAAATATATATCTGATACAAACTATGTAGGTCATGCACTTTCTTTTGGATTAGCCATGCTTTACTGTACTATGAACTATCAAGACAGTAAATCAGTAACATGAGGAAAAGGCCAATTTTTATATTTAAAGAAGTCCGGTATTTGAAGCCTGCCATTTATGAATTGATATTCACATGGTAACAGGGAGAAGTTTAATTTCACCTTATAAGCCATATAAATAGTTGGTTATATGGTTGACATTCTCAGACCCATAACATTTAAAGTATGTCATTGCTAGGGGCAAGACAGCACAATGAAATGGGGAAAAAATTTCAAAATAAAACCCCAGGTGCCCAAAGAAGCCAGAACTCATGCCAACAAGATGATAAGCCATAGGGCAAGTCATGTGTCACATTAAGTAATGCAAGGGTAAAATTAGCAGCCTATAGTAGTGATTTAATTCTACTGGTGTCTTAAAAATATGACCCTCTTGACCACAGGGTTTTCTAACAAATTTTTTCACAAAATGTGACATACCAGTGACACCTTTTATAATAAACTATATCACTGTTCATTTGTTAAATTGCTGCTGCCTTAATACTTGTCATTATTTTTACTGCATTTCTTCAACTCACTTTTAATATTAATATTTGCTCTGTCATTATGTGTTCCTTAATATTAACAAATTACATTTTTCTGTGAACTGAAAATTCCTTATTCCAATTCCAGAGCAATGAGCAAGCAAATGATCTACTGGAAATGTCCAACAATGAAAGCATCTTATCACAGATTAAGATGTCCAGACAGAAAGCCATCGTTGAACAACTGTCTGCTGGCCTAACAGAGGAACAGCTACAGCAGGAAAAGGAGTAAACACAACTTTCACATCTCTATTTACTCACTAAGAATTCCAAAGATCTCAAAATACTGAGCTTAAAAATAACATTGTTAAGTGCATTATAGGCCATTCCCACTTCCCACTGCCCACATAGCTTGAAGATTGCATGATCTTAGGCCCAGTGGCTACTGGGATTGCAGGTTCAGCTCGAACCCAGGGCATGAATATTTGTTTGCACTGCTTATCTCTGCCTGTCATTCAGGAGTTTTATACTGCCACCCCCAAAGATGGACCACAACTTGAGTTTCCTGGGAAATGATTCCCAGATTTATAACAGAGGTCAAGGCTTAATGATTCAACTCTCATAACAAAGGGTGAAACATGAAATCAGTAAAAGCAAAGCAAAGCTGTCCCACTATACACCATGTAGGCACTTGGGGAGGGGGAGATAGGGGGTATAGCTCCTACTCATTCTTGACCTCGGCACTAGATGGGGATGAGTGGTCAGCATCACGCCCCAGCCATCCTTTACCCCCAGAAAATGTCCCCAGTACCCATTGGATAGGAGGCTGGGTGGGTCCCAGAATCAGTCTGGACACAGAGGCTAGAGGAAAAGTCCTCTGCCCCCATTCGGGATCGAACCCTGGTTGCCCAGTCTGTAGCCAGTTACTATACTGACAGTTGTGCCAGCTCAGAAATCAGTATTCTAATAAAATACTGGCATAAATAATGTTACATTAGAACAGTTCAGAAAATATAGGTAGCACTGATTTTACCTCCTTGACCTCAACAGAAGGCAATTGCTGGCTTCATACACATGGAAGTTGTCTCTTCCACCATGAAGTCACAAAATGTGTTGCTGTAAGTCTCAGTCCCTTGTAAAGAATTAACTTCTATCTGTGTGAAAATAAACAAAATTACATCTACTTATATTTCTGTGAAAGAAGCATTGTCATCATAAAACAATTCTTCAGAATAAGTACTCAATCTAGAAGAAGAGTATGAAAAAATCATTGGCCAAATTTTTAATAAAACCATGCATATGGGTCATGGTTTTTGACCAGAGACATTGCAAAATCAGTGTAATGGCACCATGTAACAAGAAGTAAGATTTCCCAAACAATATACATTATCAACATTAACTATTAATTCAAGGTTAGATTCAAAGCATGTTCCAGCCTCACACCAACTGATTCTTGGGCTTACTAACCTAACATCACTGTTATCCATTCCACTAGTGTCAGCTATCTTATGACAAAAGATGTTCCTATTCTCTACCCTCCTGTAAGTACCACTGCTTATCTGTATCCACTCATTTATTACACCATCCCCATTCCCCACTTAATCACTCCATTTTGTTAGTAACCTCCTTATTGATAATTTATTTTATATCTTGTCATATGGCCCCCTTTTAAAGTTTCTCACATAGATGGACTGTATAATATGAATCCTGAAAAAATGGCTGGAGGGGTTCTAGAGAATCTCTGATAGGCAGAATATGCCACCAACATATAGAATGTTCAAAAAGCCTGGAACCAGTACCTAGTTTTTGTATTAAGGCATTGTTGAACAATCTCTGCATCATTAGAAAAATGTATTTTGTTATTCACTTCTGTATGAATGACAGCTGAAACCACAAACAAATATTAGATGAATGTAATGAAAGTCACCCTGAAAGAACCCAAGACTAGAAATGTTGAAAAATTTTAAAGAAATTAGCTGTGGGTCATTCTACCACTTTAGAAGTAGGCATTTAAATTATCATAGCAGGTTTGCAAAGTTATAATTAATATTGAAGCTAAAGAAGTATGGAAGTCTGTCAATGCAGACATGCTAAGAATTCAAAAGAACATGTTGTGACATCTGCAAACATGCCTTGAAATGCAGATGGTGGAAATATTGAAGAAAATACTACAAAATAAAATGTTTTTCTTTGGTTCCAGACGTTCTGGGCATTCTGTATACAGAACTGCTTCTAAGAGTAGACGCAATCTTCATAAATTATCAAAATCTAATATGTATTCATATTCTGGCTGAACTCTTGCAGGACAGAGAGGAAACAACTGGAAGCCATTTTTCAGTTGCTGAAGGAACAAGAGGACAAGTTCCACGTAAATTCTATGGAAGAACTGGAGGATCAGCTTCGACTATACCGCAGATGACCACATGACGCAGTTCCTGCAATACAACAATAATTTAAAAAATATATTTCTACAATATAAAAACAATAAAACTAATACAAATATTTTAAAATGATACAAGTCTAGTTGGTTTCAAAATGGAGCAGGAATTACAGAATACACAGAATTGATGTCAGTTCTCTGGAATGTAACCCAAGACTACATTCAAAATCCAGCCACAATACAAGACATGGAAGAAAAAAATGTAACATACAAACTTTAGATTTTATACTTCTCTTTGTTAATGAGACCAAAAATATTCATACATTAATTTGTATGTTAGGTCCATATTAAGAATTTGTGAAGAGTGGAGTTTTTTTAGTTGAAACAGTCAATGGAAGAAACAATATAAGTAAATTTTCATAAACTTATTGGAAATAAATAAAAACTACATTTATAAAAATGTGTTTTATCTGCATTCACAATAAATATAATATATAAATAGTTGAATTCATACTGTGCAATTTTTGTACAGAAACATCTGGAATAGTTTGCTAAAAGAAATACTAACAAAAACACTTTGGAACTTTACTCATGTGTGCACAAAATCCTTTATAACTGATATTCTGCTACTTTAAAATAGAGAACACAAGTAGTACAGGTAAGGCAAAGACAATTTTGGCAGTTACCTTTACTGCTTCTACCATCATTGCCATAAGACATGGCAGATGAGAGGTGATACACATCACTTAGAAAGGGATGGAACTATAAGGTTAGGATGTTGCAGTAATGCTTGTTCACATTCCAACACAACATTGAAAAACAGTACGATATTTGGAACTGGCAACATGCTCATTATTACACTTTTGTCCACTTCACATGTGAAGCATCTTAAAAACTGTATCCATCTTGTCCTTGCAAAATCTGGTCACAGGGTACTTGTCCTTGAATTTGTATGCATTGTTTGTATGAGGTGTACAAAGTGAACTCACAATGGGAAGGTCATGTTTCTCCATGCACATTTTATCTCTTAAATTACTGACTTATTTCTGATGAAACGAGATCATCAGCCAACTTCCCCTTGTTTAGTTCTCAGTTTCTGTAGTATTAACCCCATTACATCTATGTCAAATTCTTTTCATTTAAGGGGTTTGTCAATGTTAGGGGTAGGAGGCAATACACTGATATATTTTATGATTATTTACTGCATTTGTTAAGTACATTTAAATTGACAACATTATATGAAAAATAAATGCATTTTATTGTCTATTATTCTTCATTCTGATTAATCATCCTAATAAATAAGTGAAGGGTACCGCTGCAATTATAAACCTGATATTTATGGTGTGTTCTGTTGTCAGTTTTGGCTACTATAAACTTTCATCAAAGTTTTTTTAAGAACTTCTGCCAAGTCATTATATGAAATAAAATATAAAGAATTACCTGCTGTTCATCAGTTGAGCTATTCTGTTTGATGACCAAACAGGTCAATTGTGATGGCACTCAGAAACACAGGAATTGAATGTTGGTGCTTCAAATGCAGATTGATAAATTGTTCAAGTGTGGCAGAGTATGGTGTCTCAAGCAACTCTGGGTTGCCATCTGCAAGCTGAAAACAGAGAGCAGAAGAAATATGATTTCTTGACTGATGGGTTTAACACTTTTATGATCATGATGAAGACCTAATCCAAGTGTGGATACTGTCTCTCACATTATACCTTCCAGATTTACGTCATTGGAAAGAAGTCCATATGCCATTCTGATACAGGTATGGAGATGAAAAACAAATCAATTTTCTGCTTTTATTCTTCTGATCATCCTCCTCCTCATCAGGGATCAAACCAAGGTCATCCAGTCCGTACCCAGTCACAATACTGACTTAGCTATGCCAACTCATTCACCATTATGACATGATATAAACTAACCTCCACTTAAGATAAGGATATCTTGGTTCTTATACAAACCTTAAACAATAGGTAGTCATCCTGAGACTCAGCATACATGCTTGAGAGACGGTAGAGACTGGATTTGATGCGATCAATCTTGTATCCAAGCAGCATGTAGCAAACTTCTCGGTATTCCTGGCTTGTAGTTTTGAAAGCTTCTTTCAGCCTCTGTAGCTTTGTTTCATAAGACTTGACTTGTTCTTGTAACTCTACAACATATAAATCAATAATATTACGCCTCATGAGAGACAAATAACTTGCTGAAGTACCAACAAACCTGCTACTATCAATATTATTTCTCTTCCCTAAATACATGCACCATGGAAAGAAGCAAAGCTCCATTTATTCCTTATGTTTTGGTCTAAGATTATTATTAAAAACTAATTTCTTCTATAGTGGACCATTCTATAACAAAGCCTTCCGTTTCAATGACTTTTAACCAATGAAGTTGTAAAGGGATTGTTCAGTAACATAATACACAAAGCCTTCACAATTCTTCTCTTCTTTCCCCATAAGTGTTCCTACCATGCATGTGTCCAGCTGAGTTTGATTTTCTTTTATTTCTTTCTTCACTTGGTATCTTTCCTTGTCCTCCATCTCCCTGGAATTATGTTAATTTTTATGTTCTTAAAAGGAGTACTATTGCCATTTGTGTTGATATTGACAATCTTATCTTGTATTTTTATTTTCAGATGTTATCAAATATTTTGGTTTCAGACATTATTATTTCCTGTTTGCTTAATGCCTTGTATGAATTCAATCTCTATTGCTTGTAACCAGCTTACATCACCATTAGAACACTTGAAATTTTCTGCTTCATATGTTAAAATAGGCAAGTAACGTGGTTTATATAACTAACTTGAATCTTTTGTAACGTTCACCATTTCCACATAAGTCTGGTAAAATTTCCTTGTTCTATGAATTGCCTTATTTTCATCTTGAACTTTTATATTTAATGAAATGTCATTTCCCAAAGCTTTCAACTTTTTCATATCCGTCACATAGTTTATTTAATTCCATTAGTACTGTTCCTCCGTAAACAAGTATATGTTACCTTGAACTTCTTGTGTGCTGGAAGCAGCAAGGCGCAAATTAACTTCCTGTGTCACATCTTGCATCTGTCCCCCCTCCAGCACTCGTACCCTCTCTTGAAGCCTATTACACTCCTGCTGTAGGTGTGTCAACTTGTCCTCACGCTGTGCTTCTACTGTTGCTGCAGGATTCATCCTACAACATGCAAAACCATTGAATGACAAAGATACTTTATTAGGCCCATCCCCTAACCTAATCATCTTATCAAATATCCAAAGGATTTAATGTTTCTGGGTGAATTCTGAGTCACAAACGGCCAAAGCACCTAATCTGTGACAGATGAAGAAAAGTAACCAACTACTTGGTCAATTATCATAACAAAAGTTATATATGTGTGCACCATTTGAAACCATGTATGGATTCTCAATGTGTTCTTTGCAATCTTACATTTCTATATGTAGAGGCTCAGTGTTCATATACAGCAGATAAATATGTACTGTTGACAACTATTTTTACTCATACATTATCAAGCATTCTGGTGTAGAGGTAATACTCTAGATCTGTATTGAGGGGCGACCTGGTTTAATCTCAGATAGGTTACCAACTATTCAAACTGAGGTGTTCAGTGGGTTTCCTAATTCTCTCAAGGTAAAAGCCAAAACAGTACCTTGAAGTAGGCTATGAATGTCTTCCTCAAAATCCTTGCCCAATTACCATCCATGATCATCTAATTTATGTTATATAATCTCTGCAGCTGAAACAATGTTGTACTTGACCAAATACACATCACATAAAAAATGTTTCCAACAAAACATATAAATTGCAATAGTATATGTAGCATTTGAGGTTTTCACAGCGGTGAGTATGAAGATTTTTGTCTTCTGAGTTGTTGCGCTGTGTAGTCTGGTCGATGTTTACCAATGTTTCAGAGGTCATACTGCCTCGTCATCAGGGCGATGAATATGCCAATTGGGTGGGTGGAGCTAGGTTATAGGAGCCGGACCGTGAATGGAGTAGCCTGCCCCGAGCCAATGGGAGCAGGTGTCAAATCAGGTGTGTGGGCGAGTATGAGAGAGGGGGGTCAAAGTACAGCAATAGTATATGTTTCATATCACATACATTTTTTTGTATGATGAGCCATCTGTAAATTTGGTTTCAGCTTATATAAAGTATAAGGCTACACTGAACTGATACAAAGTAAAACAGAATATCCATTTTTATATAGGCTTCTTATATGAAATTTAACTGATTTATTTCTTTATAGTTTATTTAATGATGTTTTTTTCAGTAGCTCAGACTATATAGTGTGAACCCAGGCCATCCAGAATATGAAGCAAGAGTGTTAACCATTTGACCATGACATTCAATCAAAATTTAACTGATAATATCGCATGGAGAATAAGGGTATTCACTGTTATCTTACCTAATGTGCAAAACTTTGGACTTCATGGGATTGAAATCACCCTTAAGGGCCCTGTATTCCAGCTCCACCTCCAGCTCATCCCTACGTTTCATCAGCTGTTCCTTTTCTTGCTGCAGCGTGTTTCTCTCTTCTTCCAACTTGTAGATTCTCTCACTGAACTGAATACCTCCTGAAAATTTTGAAAATTTCACATTACAATATCAGATTTGGCAGTAACACTCTGAAGACTTAAGAAGGATTAAGTAAATAAAGACCCATTTCACTATTAACTATTTTCTTCCAAAGTACCTGACAAGGTCATACACAACAGGTTAAACCATCATATGCACAATAATAACATATTGGTTCCAGAATAATTTGGCTTCAGACAAGGGATATACACTGAAAATATTGTCATCAAGCTTTCAGACAGTGTATGAAAACCTATTAACCAAATGAATGCATATTAGAGGCATATTCTGTGAATTAGCAAAAGCAAATCGTAAATTGTTGCTAGCTAAATTATATTTTTATGACATCCAAGCAAGACCCTCAACTGGCTCAGATCCCATCTCACATGTTTAAAAAATATATATATATATATATATATTTTTTTTTTTTTTAAAGTAGAACCACCAAATATGAACCAGAATTTTTGTTGAATTTGGGATCAGTAAAACACATAGTTCCCCAAGGGTCAATTTTAGCACCTTGGCTTCTCATAAATTTCAAATTACCTTCCTCCAAAAAATAAACACCCTATCAGAGCCCATTACATTCACTTATAGTGGCCTTGACCTGTAACTCTGATGAGGAAAACAATAAATGCAAAAACAATTTTGGCAGAGAAATGTATAGAAAGTGACTTAAAAAAATATAGAAGAGATAACATGGAAATAGATTATGACAGCACATGGATAAACTGGCTCAGGGTTTAATACAATACCAGCCTTTAAAATCAGAAGTGTTAAACCTACCAGTTCTAGCACCAGACACTTAGTTAACCAATCAGAATGCAATTGTAATGATGAATATGTCTACCTGAACCTTTCACTGCTTTTTCAAGATCTGCCTCCAATTTCATAACCAGGTCACGGTATCCATCAACTGTCTTTTCCAATGCTTCTACTCGAGACCTCTGTTGCTGCTGCTGTGAATTCAACAATGCTGATGAAGAAGTCACGGTCAGTTCCTTCTCATACATATCCAATTGTGACCGATAACTGTCCCTCTCCTGAAACAACATATATTAAACTAATTATTTTTTAAGCATAAAAAGATACATTTGAAGTAGCTTGTATGTAGTTAGTAACACTTAAGTTTAAGTACAGTTTGCATTTAAAATCAGTAAGTGGCCTCAGGACAAATATTGTACGTCATCAGTAAAAGTGAGACACACTGTAAACAATTTTGTGAGGAGAATTGGTACTGTCAAGTATGATATCGTATGTCTTTAATCTCTTAATATACTGACACGAGTGCTTGCATATTAGACACACTGTAGATTGTATGTTATATTACCTCAACTAGTATATACTGCAGCATTTTTTCAAAGAAGCTAGCAGATGCAGGTAAATAATAAGTACCAAACTGCCTATGTATGGATGTGTTCACATTATATAAATCAGGAAGTTGAGAACAGTATTCTATATATAATGACTTACACGTGAGACTAACAGCAGCCTCTTCTGTAGGCGCTTGATAAGCTTACTCTGGTCATCATTTGTAACTTGCAATCTCTCTATCTGCTTTGTTGCTTTATCCAGCTCCATCTCAACTTTGGATTTGGCTTGTTGGGCTGTCTTCAGCCTATATCACACATAAAGCTTTTGGCATAACGTAAATTTAAGTTATTTCAACAATACAAAAATCAGTGTTTCAATAATGTTTGAAGTTTTGCTGTCCATCCTGAGAACCAAATGAAACCCAAAAAGTGATTATGTGAGTGACATGCCAAGTAACTGAACATTAAGGTAGGAGATATCCATGCTTGCCACCACCAAATAACTTATGAATCAATCAACCAGGCCCTCTAAATTATGACAAGTCTGCCAACTCTATGGACTGACCGAATGCCAAGGTCTCCTAAGTCTGCAGTGAGTTGAAGTTCCTTCTGCTGCAAAGTTTCAATCCTCATCCTAAGGAATTCTGGACCTGCCATGGCTTTCTCTGGTGGAACTCCAAGGCAGTGATCACGAGCAAGTTGTCGCCAGTGTTCAAGCATAGACTCCAAGTGTCCCTGAGAGGCATCAAGCTGCGCTAATTTCTGTTCCCGTAGCTCAAACCCTGCCTGGCGTGATCGAAGATCTACAACTTCTTCCTCCAGTACAAGCTTGTTGCGGACCGCATCTCTAAAATAATCATTACACTTATTCTCAATCCATATTACCTAAGTACTGTAATTGATGCAACATTTTCAGTTCCCGTTTTAGAGACCAAGCGTACCAAGTTTTGACAAAGTGCCTTTCTCTTGCTGTGGTTGAGTATATTAAATTACAATTTTGAGGGCTATTGTGCATAGTTACTCTAACCTATACTATCTTAAACTTATTTATTACATTTAGACGGTTCCTCGGGTAGCAAACAAGAAGTAGCCACTAAAGGAAACTGAGCACTGGACTAGCAAATTATGGGCTGGAAATTATATATAAAATAAAAGCTACCATCTACACAACCTTTGTTATTAAAACATTCATGCTATATGTTTCTGACTTATAAGGTCATCTTCAGGTGTCCAACTTAAATACGATGAAGAACCACCTGTTACTATAAATTGCATGCTCAATGAGAGCTTTAAGGCAGATATGTAGCATGAATATTATACCAATAAAGGTCACATAGACAGCAGTTTTATGTGTGCATAAACTATACACCATAATGCAGTCTCTGAACATGGCCAATGAATGTTTGATTTCTGGTAGAGGTAGGTTTTTATCTTCGCAGTCACATCCAGTAGAGCTCTCATATCTTCTCAGCCTCCTATCAAATGAGTAACCTATGGCTCCTTCTCCAGGAGTAAAGTGGTCACTGTGAAAAATTGACAACTCACTTCCATCTAATGGCAAAATTAAGTGTATGTGGGGTGTTATGTCAATTATATATTCCCTCACAACATGGTGTTTAGGCATGGGCAACTTCACTTACTTACTACTATGATACATCTTGTTCAATGCTACATAACCTCTGCACCTAATAAAATGCCATTAAACATATCACAAATAAAACCTAAGGTTCCTATTCTCGTCTCGGAGTGAAGCCACCTCACGCTCCAGGTCAGGAAGTCGCATGAGATTATGATGCTGTTTTTCAAGCAGTTCTCTTGTCTCTTCCCCTTTGTCCTGCTCAAGTTTCAGCTCCTGAAAGGAAGATGAAGTGACCAAACTTGATAATAAAACAAACTCAAATCTTAATCTAAAACAGAAATGGTCATAGAAACAAGAAGGTAAGAGAGACTGTTTCTATATCATAGTGTCAATTTAGATCATTTTTGATGAACAGTGTGCACTACATCAGAGTATTTGCCTGAATATAATGCACACTCCTGTTTTTAAAGATTAAAATGATGAAACATTTCCTTACACATCAGTTCAAAAATAATTTAATAAACAATTTCAAAATGCAATTAAGTACTAATAATGGAGTACAACACTTTTCAAAATCTTTCTTTCAATCTTCTATGTGCCAATTTTACAAAATGTACAAACATCACAAGTACAGATGTCAAACTTATGGAAACAATATGGTAAACATAGGATTCTTTTGCAAGTTTCCAAAACTGAGAACATCTAACAAACAACCTTTGGGAGAATAGACTAGGTACTGTCCACAGATGACGAGAAAATTCCAGCAAGGGGAAGTCGTTCCTGGTCGGTGCGGGGGGAATGTTACTTATCAGCTGGACTAGAGGGCTGCTATTGGTGGGAAGTGTGATATGTCAGAGTTTTACGCTACTGCACACAGACTGAAAACATCAAGCCATTAAGAGTAGCGTGAAGTGAGTGCACCTCTAATGTGTTCTGCGGGTGTTGCGATAATATTCTAGATTAAATCGCTGTGCCTCTGTGAGATAATTTTAAAGCTGTACCCATTAAAACACATGAAAGATTGTTGTCTGTTGTTCGTTCAGTGGTTGTGGAACGAATGCTTTTAGGATGGGTCGTCACTCAGCGCGAAATCTTGCGTATGCGCATTTAACGAATTCCTAGCAGGGATTTTCTCCTGGTCTGCGGACTGTAGACACCATGTGAGAGAAGATAAACAGAAGTTACAGCAACACAAGAAGAATGCTTATGGGAGGAATGAGAGGAACAAAGGTGGAGCAGTCAATGTATGACGATTATGTTGAAGAATAGTTACAAATGTACCTTAATCTTTTGTTGAGCCTGAGTACAGCAGTGTTCAACAAGTTCCAATTGATATTTCAGGTTTGAAACATCGACTACTTTCTCCTCAAGTAATTTGATGTGGTCTTTGAGTGATGCTACCTCTTCATTAGAAAGTTTTAACTCCCCCTCCAATTCTGATATTCGGCGTACTCCAGCTGCACATTTCTTATGGGTAAGCTCTACCTGAATCATAATGGTAATGGTAACATGTTATAGCTATAGCTACCTTAGTTAAACATCTGCTCGAATTTCAAGCATAAATACAATAACTGTTATTTAATATTAATTTCATCATTTCAGAGGGGAGTAATGTGCATAAACCAGAGGCGAATCTTACTGTTCAAATGAAATTTTAATTCCTGTCTCAGACCATGATGTTAGACTTGATGCATGGTATAGTTCTACCAGCTGTAATTTCTGGGTTCCAAAGGATGGTAATTTGTTTCTGCGACTCAATACACATGGTGGTTGATGTTGTTATTGTTACTAATATCATCACTATTATTATAATCAATGTTATTACCATTACCATCACAACCATACTGTGAATCATACTGCAGCAAAATGGTGATGTTCAATCATTTAAACAAATCATTATCTACATTACTGATTCATCAATCAGCTGTATTATTACCTATTACATTGTATGTCCATTTATTTGGCATTGCTTAACTCTTTAAAGCCCAGTGATAACTTTATGTACGACAAGCTTAAACAATTAACAACTGTGCATTATGCCCATAAAATGTACTTGTTTTTCTCATATGAGTCTCAGAATAAACAGCAATTATTTCCCTAAACAGCATTAAACAACTCCTCTTTAAAACAGAGATTGATGAAGTTTTCAACAATAATTATGTAAACTCTGACATCCATTTCATCCCAATACACCAATATGTCCACTCCTGATCATCAAATATTAAACACAACAGTCACTAACCTACCTGTTTAAACCGGTCATCCAAATGAGTATATTCTTCCTGAAGTCGAAGGATCTTCTTCTCAAGCTTACATTTACTAGATTCAGTGGACTGTCTATACTGAGAGAATTCATCTCTACTCTCTACCTCTCGCTTACGTAAAGTAGCAATCTGACCTTCCAACATCCTGATCTATAAAAACAATGTTACTACTGTAATAAGATACAAATTGAAAACTAGTATAAATGCATAAACTGTGTTCAAGAAAGATCTACTGAAGTAAACTCAAAAGGTAAAGTTGTTGTAATCCAAGACACATGTAATATTCAATGAACAAATAAAAATTACACCATAAGAGTGGTGATATAATATAGCAACTAAGAGATAAATAGTTCAAATTATTTCAGAGAGATGTCCAACACAGGATATATCTCAATGAAATTACAAATTTGTGATATGAAGAACATACAATTGTTCATTATCTTGCAACATGATACGAATTGGCAGTAAATAAAAATCAAGGCAAATATGGTTAGTAAAATTGAAAGGAATGTCTACTATAAAAACTTGTAATTTTCGTAGTCTTCAAAAAATGACGTCATCAACAATGTCACCTTATATTTGTTTATACTCAAACAAATATAAGGTATACATATATATACTTAAACAAATGACTTGAGTAAGACACTAAACTAACCCCCCTTCTTACTCAAGATTTTAAAATGCAACCAACCCGCCCGAAGGGGAGGGGGGTTGGTTTGTTGGTTGTGTTTTAAAAACTTGACCAACCCCCCCAAAGGGGGGGGTTGGTCAAGTGTTTTAACCCCCTATTTGGGGGGGTTGGTTTAGTTTCTTACTCAAGATTTTAAAAACTTGACCAACCCCCTGAGGAGCTCTGAAAGGAGCGCTCTGCTCTTGTATTTATAAAACATGTGACCCAGGGAGTATTTTCATTCATGTTAACTGAGTAATAATGGCTGGAAAGTCATCAAAATTTGTCCTAGAAAAAAGAGTGAAACTTTTCACTATTGTTAAACAAAGCAAGTACACTGAATAGTCATGAAATTACACCTACCAATAATTGAACAGTACTGTACATCAGTCTCCAAGAGTTTCCTGTATTTTTACAAACTAAACAACACCTATGGATCAATACTAATTAACCTATGCATTTGGAGAGGGGAGAAAAACTGCAGATACCTACACAGTAGACATTTATTTCAAAAATGTCCTTGTAGATGAATGTCTTCTGGGATTTCGCACCATGCAGTCTGATAGAAGTTCACTGATATTTCGGTGGTGCTTGTTGCTTCCATTGCCAGATTGATGCAAAGCACATTTAAAACAGCAGTAAACTTTAACCAGACTACATTCAAAACTTACTATTTCTCTGTCCCGCTCCCGTTGCTTTAAAAAGCTTGTTTTCTCATTGTCAAACACTAATTCCAGCTCCATCCTGACAGAATGCAATTTTTTTATTCGTTCCTCGAGACTGGCATTCAGGGCTTTTGCTTCTGCTAATTCTGCCTTCATTCGCCTTGTTTCCCATGGTGAAGCTGCAAGACACAGGAAGTTAATGCACAGGTATCTTGGCAATTGCACCAGAAAACAAATTACAAGCAACAGCAACCGAATGATTTTGTCACGCACATAAAAAATGTGGTAAAAATGCAGTGTATGTTTTGGGCCCATCACTATGCTACGTTACAATTATCTTTCATTGCACCAGAAATAAGGGTAATAATTTTGAACTATCACTGTACATTTGAAACACAATTTCAAACTTACCCAACACAGAAATATTTGAATCTTCAGCAGTATCGACGGAAACATTACTGTCAGTATGTTTCCGTTTTTTACTGTCATGAGATACAACACAATCGTCAAACTGTAATATTGTTGGTACTACCGCCATGTCAATGAAGTTAGGACGATTCACTGTCGGGTTACACTGCCTGAACTCATCCAACATCTTAATTACACAAGTAGGATCCTCTGTATCTTGACTTTCAAACATTCCGCATGCTATTGTAACGTAACTCCTCACACTCGAAACAAAGTGTACATGGGAAATACCGCATGAATAAAAATGGCTACCCTGATGCTATTCCATTCCAATATAGGGAAATTAAACAGCTCCGAAACGTTAACAATTTGCAAGATAGGACAATTTAATAGGACGATATCGCTCTTAGTTCTTCATGAAAATGAACTGTACCAAACCCCTTCCCAGTTCTTTATTTATACCACCACTACTGGAAACATATTAATGCACATAACGGTAATTTGGTTAAAATGCTGGGACTTTATCTTCTAACTGCTTGGCGACCCTGATCAACAATCGTGAAACAATGGACTTAGTCGTTGCAAGGAAAGTTGGACGGCTGTTATTTGTACGAGCATAAGAATTTGTAACTAAAAAGTAAATTAATTTGTGAAAACGTATATAAATGAGTTTCCCTTTATGAAATGTCAGCTGCATTGGCACGAGAAAGTTTGGAACTTGTCGAATCAGCAGGTAATACACTATTTAAATTTTGTTTTAGGTTTGTGTAGTTTACCCTAATTCGCAATACATCACAAAGCACCAGAAAGATATGATTAAATAAAATGGGGAAACTCGAAGTGAGTATCCCGAAGTATATTGCCAGTAAAATCAAAGCAAAAGGCCTTTCGAAATTTTGGTTTTGTCAGATGTGCCAGAAGCAATGCCTTGATGTGAACGGTTTCAAATGCCACATGTCATAATCTTTTCTTTTGTTTGCTGAAAACGCAGATAAATACATTGACTAGTTCTCCAAAGAATTTGAAGATGTATATTTAGTATTGTTAAACGTCAGTTTGGTACAAAGCGTGTGTACCAGGATTATATATCAGTGTCATCATTTACAAATAAATTCTACACAGTGAGAAACTTTGAGACTTTGTGAAATGGCTTGGAAGGGAAGTGTGTGGTGGATGAGACTGAAAAAGGATGGTATGTACAATACATAGATCGTGATCCAAACCATTGCAATGTAAGAGGCCCTTGTCTGCAAGGAGAAAATGATGGCATTTATTGGAAAGCAAATTGAGAAGGGTAAAGTATGTGCCAAGAGTGACTCTCCTGTCTTTACAGAATTTGTGCGACCAATTGAGGAAGATAAAATAGTTGTAAATTTGAACTTTGAAGGAAAAAATTGAAGATAATAGAACTCTGGTGTCAAGCAATCCACTAAAAATTACTATAATAAATGAGTATCTTCTTCAGCTGGAAACAAGAACAAAGGAACATAAAAATAAGGTGGAAAAAGGAAAGCCTTAAGATGACATTAGATATGAAGAGAGCAAGAAGGAACGTACAAACAGAAAGGATTATTGGTTGGTGGAAAGAATTATTGTGAATGTGGTAGAAAAATCTCTGGGTGACAAATACTACAAGAAGAAGGGTGTTGTGACTGAAGTGCCAAACAAATATGTAGCTATTGTGTCCATGTTGGATAATGGACACAAACTGAAACTAGACCAAGTACACCTTCAGATAGTGATACCAGCAGTAGGGTGGCCTGCACTTGTAAATGGAGCTTACTGTAGTTGCAGTGCCATACTTAAGAAATTGGATAAGAAGAAATTCTGTGTAACCATTGAAATTTCACTACATCTTTCAAAACGCAGGATAGTTGATAAAGTGGAGTATGATGACATTTGTAAAGTACATAATGTAATGTATAAATACCATAGTTTTTTATGTTACATTAAGTGCAACTTTATAAAAGATTTTAACATCTTGGAGGATGTAATAAAAGGTGTAATAAAATTATTGTATGTGTAGTAACTTTTGGTCTTTGCAATCAAACATTAATTTACCTTTATAATTAATTATTAATTCAGTACTCTTTTTAAGTTGAGAACACATACATGTTCCAAGAAGGTTTTTCTTTTATAACAGCTTAGAAGTGGGTACTGATCTGCCATGTTACACACTTGGGTGACATGTCTGCTATATGAAAACTCTGCTATCTTCCAGTTTTCACAACACATTTGATGTACATGTGGATGAGGTCACACTTTTCAGAGAAATACTTGACATGCACAGCTGACATGTATTTTACTAAAGAACGAATATGCACAATCCATATAGAGTTGAAAGTGTAATCAGTTTTAAGACCAGCTCATTTATGAGTATTAGAAAGTATGCATTTTTACAATGTGCAAAAAATTCATACTCAGTGTAATAAGTATTACTAGCTGACCTAAAATCATTTAAACAAAATCATGGGAAGTGGCTGTAGTTCATGTCCAATGTTGGAATTTGGTATTAGTAATGCTGAAAGTTGCATTCTGTTTCCAGACAGTTATGTTTTATTCATAAATTGTTTCTTAGTAACAGATAATAGAACATCATCAGATCGGTTGGAGTACAAAAGTTGCATTATAATGGTAAGCTTATTTCCTTTGTATTCATTTTTGGAACTGTGTTCGTTATTATATTCAGTAGTATGAATGAGGTCTTTGATTCATAGGGTTTTTTGTAAAGATACAATTTTCAGTACTACTGAGTGTGACAGTAAACCCCACTACCCCTGGTTTCCAAATATTGAGCTTTTCTTCTCCCATGCCAACAATTAAGAACCAGCTCATGTCAGCATATTGTCAACATGACTGATTTCTGATGTCATCTCTTGGTGCAAGGTTGAACTTTCTTACAGGAGCAATTTTTCTGTTACAGTGTTGACTGCTAGTTTTGACTAATTTTGGAGTGGAAAGTATCAACAGGTTTGGGATAGTCCATTTGTTTACAGATATGCTCTGCACAATCATTATCTGATGACTAAAAATACAACAAATCTTTGTACTTTTAACATAGTGTGAAGGTATATGATACAGGTTAATGTGAAACATATACTTTTTATACACAGGGAAGAAACATGTCAGACCCAGGCAAGCAATTGATGCTAAGAATTTGCACAGGAAGAATAAACAAAGTGGGATAGTGCAAAAGAAACTGAGGAAGGAAGGTAAGTTAAAAAAGAATTTGTCTGATGAATTCAACCCAATATATATATGTGAGATCTGAGGTTCTCACAGCAACATGTGATGGCTGTCATCTGGGATGTTGCATTGTGCAGTCTGGTAGATACTGATGTTTCTGCATTTTGGAGTAGCCTCCATGATCAGAGTGATGAATGGTCTTATCTCTATGATGGAAACAGTAAGTTACTCTGAAATGATAAATATCTGCCAGAATACATGGTGCACCATCTTAGAAGACCATTATGTACATTGTATATATAGAGAAGAAACATGTCAAATCCAAAGAAGAAAATGATGCAAAATATTTGTACAGAAATAAGAAGGTGGGATGATGCAAATGAAAAAGAGGAAAAGTAACTTCTTCAGACTCATCACCATGAAAACCTGAAATCCTACAATTCCAAACATTCAGCAACAAAGTAATACATTTGATTTTGGTGTAATTGCAATATTTACCACTTCACTAGTAACAGGAATATATCAGAATCAATTATGCATAGACCTTCTAAACACTTCCTTAATTACTGACACTTATGTACATGGTAGGATATTAAAATACTGTGAAAATATTAATTGCACTGAAGTGGCTAAGGATATCATTCAGTGCTGGGCTTATATGATTATGATGAATCAGTTAGTTAGCATCACATGCACAAAGACCCATGGAATTCGTTACTGTTAACCTTTATCACAGGAATAGATGATTTATATCACTCTACTTCTGGACTACTATTCCAATTTTTACTCCAGAGTTAATTGTTTAGTGGTAAGCTACTGTAATGCAATCAGCTGAACTATGTGTAGGCCAAGACATGTGGCTATAAAGATAAAATGGCCACACATAACACTTGGGGAATCCTCGCCCAATTATAAAACACAGAACACTTTAATATCCTGAACAGTTGCAAGCTGTGGTGGAGTGCAGCTGTCTGTAGAAGAACTACGCATGAGACTACGTGTACATGAGGATCGCACTGAAGGGAATGTTCGTCTTCTACAGAGGCTTGGAGATTGTAGTAGTTTGGATGTTAAAACAGCTAACAAGGTTAGTTATTTAGTAATTTTGCTTAGAATATGTTGGCATTTTCAGAAATAAAATTTTTAAAAGTAAAACATCCTAAGTATTTATATGTGCAAAAATGATCCTTGCAGAAATCACTGATGAATTTTGTGGGAAAGTTTAATTCTCTAACAGCTTATGGGAAATACAAGTTCTAACTTCTCCCCTGAAGATGGCCATTTTAGCTGAAATATGTAGTATACTGTGCAATTATTCCAGCAATATCTTTTTGATAAAGTTAATCCCACAGTAATATACATTTTTGTTGTATCATAGATGGAATACCATCATTAGTTATTATGCTCCAGAATAGGATTCTATCTTAATCTGTATTCTGTACTAAGTAACAATCAACAGATAGAGTGTCAACACAATTGGCTTGAACAGTGGAGGTGAGTTATTTGTTTGGCAACATGAGGCTATTTTGAAGTGGCAACAGATCAGACAACATAACATTATTCATAATTAATTCTGACATGTTAATCTCTAAACTCTGATTGGTGTTCCCAAGTTGCTGAGATCCACATTAAAGTAAATATGAAGTGAAATGAAAACAGAAATGTATGTACCATGGACTACAAAACTTGAATTGACATCTAAATAACATTTTCTGTTTCTTCTGGGATGACATGATGTGCTGGGCATGTAGCTAGAATAGGGAATCAAGAAATTTGTATAGAATTTGACAGCGAACTCTCAGAAGGCAGAAAAGATGGGAGAACAACTTATGATGAAATAGGAAAATAGGCTGGAAGGAAAATGAACTAGCTCAGGATTAAGTCCAATGGTAGACAGTGTGAGTACTGTTTAACCTTTGCATTCAGCTGTGAGATTGTATTATGAAATGTATGAAACAGTTGCAGTTTTTATGGGTCATACTTTATCTTCTGATCTAAAATTAATTTAATTACAGTTCATAGTCCATCAAAATCTGTGATAACAGGGTCAGAAATTTGTTTCAACTTGTGAAATTCTTTTCATATTACCAGATGACAACTTCTATACATGAAGTGTTCTGTAAGATGTTTGTGATGGTAATAGCCAAAAGTACACATCACATTCATACAAGTTACAACTTCTCTGAACTACTAACTACATGGAACAAAATCCTTAATGATAAGTTAATATACCATGCTCAGCTAGTCATGAACCTCTGTTATTAATACATACTGTGCTTTTGTCTTCAGATTTTTGAAAGGAGTGTAAAGAGCAGGACAGAAAAACCCTCTTCTGAATCAAAAGAAGAATCTACAATGTTTACTGAAGAAGATTTTAAGAAATTTGAAGAGGAATATTTTGTGAACTGATGATCCAGGTTCCTTTATGTTATATTCTGTGGTGTTCATCAACTGAAATTTGTGAAATTGTTTTCAATGCTTTGTAATGGGATGATGACTTGATAAAAGTGTTGAAATAAATTAAGCAGTTTCATACAGCGGTATGTGAATTTTTACATAGGAATTACGTAAGCTTGACTTCTTTTAATTACAAAGTATGAAGAACCTTGAATACTTACAAAATCCATTAAAGAATAAACTGTGCGTGGAAAGTTCTGATTGCATTTCAAGTGTTGTGACTAATTCAAAGTGAATGCTTTTACCAAAGAAGAATCGTCTGGACTGAATAACAGACTTGAGATGTGTATTTGTATCACAAAAAAATAAGTGAACTGAAGTTTATTACAAATCTTGGGCAAACACAAGAGAATATGAGTATAAAAATATTAATTGAATTAAAAATATCCATAAAGATGAATGATGCAGCATTAGGTAAGATACTGCTTATCATAAGCTGTCTTTCCTTTTGCTATTATACAGCATGGGTTATTATGCTGCCCTTTTCTGACCGTGAGCATGCCATCAATCAGCTGTTTCCACCTGTTCATTATGCACTATTAGTTCCTGCTTCTGTGGGTCTGGCTTTCATTGGTACTTTGGTTGTGTTCACAGTGTACCATATTCAGTGTGCAACAAATTCTCATTAATGGTGTGTTAGGCTATTCTGAAGTCATACGCCATGACAGCACTCACTAGTTAAAACAATGTGAGAGATAACAGGATATATGAATTCTAAGTTTTAAGCTATTAAAAAACCTGACAGATCCTGAGGTAATATGTGACTAATGTCAAGAAAATATGGGAGTAATGCAAAAGATCTTCCTAAGAAATTTCCACATTGTGTGTTGTCTGGGCACAAGAGATAATAATTATAAGACACATGATAGGTAGTTTCTAAAATGTAATAAAAATACTGATACTATTTCACTGCTTTGAGAAGGAATAAGAAAATAAATTTTTTCCTATAATTAATATGTGAGACTAATTGTCTTCTAAAGTTTAATAAACACTTATATTCTACTGTCAATGTATGACATTTAATGTTCATTTGTGATTGAATTATCAATAATTGATATATTTTTGTTTCCAGGCACATTATCTGAAATACATTCCAGTGTTAGCATTTATATTTTTGAGCTGTCATGAAAACTGATGTATTCACATCCACAATCATACCAAACATATTTTCACCAATATTGTGAAGATTATATATCTTAAGAAGTACAGTTGTATTTGCTATAAGAACCAGAGAAGTTGCCTCAACAATTTGGAACTTCTTTACAAAAGGCAGCTGTGAATACAGACATATTGCATATTGAAAATAAACATGTGGCTTATAATTGGGGTGTCTGGTGCTACGTGCAGTGGCAAATCAATATTAGCAACGTCTCTGCAAAAAGAACTGCCTGGTTCATCATTAATATGTCAGGATGACTTCTTTCTGCCTGTAGACAGTGAGCTGCATACTACGATTCCAGCCTTGAACCACATTAATTGGGAAATTATAAGTAGCCTGGATATGGAACGAATGCATGCCGTTACTGAAAATCTCCTTGTCTCTGGCAGTACCAAAAATGTTTTGCCATTTAGCAGCCTAGTAGAGGTTGCTAGCAGAGTGACAGAATCATGCCTCTATGCTGAAAGTGAAATTGATAAAAGTGTTACAGTTCTAAATTTCAATGATGGAGGCTGCAGAGAAATACTAGAAGATATGGACAAATCTAAACCAAACCAGACTCAGTCAATAGCAACAGATGAAACTACCATTGACAATGCATTATCAAAAGTAAAAATTACAAATGGCTGTGATGATAAGCAAACATCAGGAGTTTCTATTCTCATTATTGAAGGGTTTCTTATTTTTAATGACAAAAAACTAGCTGACTTATGTCATCGAAAGTACTTCTTAACTCTTACTAAAGAGCAGTGCTGGGCAAGACGACATATAAGAACATACGATCCTCCAGATGTACCTGGTTACTTTGATCAATGTGTATGGCCTGAGTATGAGAAACATCGTGACCAAGTTTTCAAAGAAGTTCCAAATGTTATTCTCATAGACGGAAATCGGGATAAAACCAGCATCATGAGACAGGTTCTGTTAGAAACTGTTCAAACAGCTCGTGATTTGCTAGAATTACAGAAGACTTAATCACCCAAGTATGTAACCACTCTACTATGGATTAAATAGTATCTTACAATCATCACTGAAAGTTATACAAAAGAAAATTTATTCCAAACTGTCACACAAATGCCTGAATATACTTTTTAGATAGAGTATTTACATCAATAGTAGACAATTTCTCCCTTTTTTAAGTTTAAATTTAATTTTTTTATAGTGTGGCAATGAATCAACAGATGACACTCAGCAGCACATGATAACAGTATACAAGCACAGTTTGACAGGCCACACCACAGGGAGAAAAAATGGGTAATATGTAATATTTTTAAAGTTCAAATAGATGTGTCAACCAGCTCTACAAGAAAATAGAGCAGTATTACTCCTAAACCAGGAGTAGTACAATGCTTTTATGACAATGAAAAATACCTCTGAAGATGTCTAAGCTACAGTCAAAATATGCAGACACAAAGTGGGTTATTTATTGTTTGGCTCTTCCTCATGTAAGGTTCCATTTCGTTGACTTAAAATAAATAATTTTAGTATAATTTCACCCATTTAAGGTTATCATTTTAGTGCTTAATTTACTGTTGCCCTATGAAGTCTTAAGGAGGGAAAACACTGAATATAAACAACATGCCTATGTCTGATATAAACTTCCCAATTTGCAAAGTTAAATTTATTTGTTAATAGAATCATAATATGCAAAGAGCACCTGATGACCAGAAGAAATAATACAGCATGTATCATTATAAAGAAAAAATCCAAAGATAAGACATTCCATGCACAAATACTCATTCTTCTCTGTCTACAATGTATAAAGAAAAATACAAAATATGTGGCTACTGTCATTAAGAGTAGAGTCCACTGAAGACCTTGCAATATGAAGGGGAGTTTGCTATTCCACCACAAGTTTCTTCCTTCTCAGATTACTTTTATGAATTTTTATTATAAAAATTAGTATGCCTACATACACACTCATAAATCTGCCTAGATTATATACTTAGAGGACTCTACTATTGTTTCAAACAACAAGTATCAATTGCAGAATTTCCATTTTTTAAAACTGTGACATTGTAATTGTCTGCTTTGTATAAGCATAATATTAATAAAGTTTCAGCCTAATCTAATTTTTAATTTCCTTGCCTTCAGACACCATACCCGGTATTTTGTGAACCAAAGGAACCACAGCACACACCTTAACCCGTACATGCTACTTATACAGCTGAAATATAATTATTTTATATCCGATAAAATACAAAGAAGGAATGCGTTATATCTCCATATGTGCTTTCATGTTGTGGTCTTCCCCTCCTTCCCATGTATTTCTATCAGTCATCCAGGCTTGGAGTTATGTTGCAACCAAAGCACTGAATAGCTCAGATGGGGAAGACATGAAATGTTTCCAGAATTTCTGATTGGAGAACCTCTTAGAAGACTAGGAGCATAAAAACATGGATTGTAAGGATAGGAAGTGAATGGAACTAGCTCAAGATCATGTTTAATTTAAGGCTTTAATAGTATCAGTGTTGGAATTTTGATTACATTACAAGAGAGTTTGGTTATCATTACAATGTGAGGAAGGAGCTGGGTAGCTTAGTCAGTACAGTGACTGATTAAGGGCTGGATGTTAGGGGTTCAATACCCGACCAACAGGGGCAGAGGATTTTCTTCTACCCTCTGTGTCCAGACCAGCTCTGGGGCCCTCCCAGCCTCCTGTCCAATGGGTACTGGGGTCCTTTCCCAGAGGTAAAGCATGGTTTGGATGTGCTGCTGATCACTCACCCCCTTCTAGTGCTACGGTTGAGAATGAGTAGGAGATATACCCCCTCCCCCTTGATCACGCCAATATGATGCGTAGTGGGATAGCTTCTACCATATAAGGAATGAAAGGATTAAGCTTCTAAAGACTAATTTATCAATCAATGTGCTCTTGATTTGTTCCATATGGGACTTTTGAAAAATTAGCCTGTTGAATTATATATAACTGCACAACGGGATTCAAACTTACAAATGTGATCTTCACATGAACACTAGTCCCTTGTCCTAGCAATTACCCATTACAGTAGATTGGTAACTCAGCAAAGAACAGCCTTCAGTTCCATTTTGTCATCAGACTTACCCATACAACTGGGAAAAGTCATAAACATATATTAACGTTCTTAAAATCAGGCAGATATGTTGGTGTCTTTGCTAAACAGACATCTGTCACAACAAGCAACTGTAGTTAATGGAAGGAGAAGAATAAAGCTACATACAGACAAATACAAGGAGATACAATGCCAGGAGATTGATTTCTGTGGACCAGCCTTAAAGTGACAAGTAATATGATATGGAGAGTAGCTGGACAAGACTGGGTCAGAGAAACTGTAGTAAACTCAAATTAAAATGCTTGATGCTGCTATCCTATTTGACGCTACACATTCAGACAGTCCAGTGTCAACAAGATGTATAAGCGGTCATTACATGACTGCAAGGGGTAATAGACTGTTTAGTTGAACCCATGTTACACAAATCTGTTTCTAACAAGTATCAACTGCATTTACCATATCAGGTTTTCCCAACTGAACAGCAGCATCTATCACTTCTATCATACACAATGTTTTAGACAACCACCAGGTGTATATTAATTTTGAAACAAAGGATTTCTAATGGCCAACTTTAATATAATCCAGTCAAACTGACCACAAAACAAAAGTTGATTCCATTTACCTCTAACATAAGCATAGTATTGCAGAACATAAAATTCACTTATTTAGGTTTTAAATTTTACCAGAAAAAAATGCTTGAATCCAGTTTCTAGGCTTCACATTGAATAGGTGGTGATTTTGGAGCCCTGTGATGGTGCCGGAGGCAGGTCATCATCTGGTGCACCACAAGATTTCTTCACATACTGAGGATTCACCATGATGTCTTCTTCCATTGACTGCATTTTACGATCAAGGTCTGTGCAAACGGCCATCTATGCAAATAATGATTAAATTGGCATTAAAAACTTCAAACAGTGCTCATTATTACTACACTGTGATGGAGGCAAAAATATAAAGATGGTGGTGGTAAATATAAACACTTTACACCTGAAGTTATACAGTGACACTCATTTTAATAATAAATGCTCTAGACCAGCATTTCTCAACCTATGGTACACGAGCCACTGTTGAGTGGTACATGAATTAAGTAAGAAAATCAAAAGATAATATTAACATAAATAAGTTTTCCCTGAACGCATTTGGTTAGTGGTACATTTAATGTGTTACATTAGAATTAGTGGTATGCCAGCGTGAGAACCCGTGCTCTAGACACATATTTGAAAAGAAACTGATTTGAGTCTCAGCTGGTTACTGAGTAACCTAACTGAGATTTTTTGTAGTTTTCCTCAGTCTATCCATGTGGATACTAGAAAAATACCTTCAATTAGAATGTGAGTGCCTCTTTTCAAATCTTTATCAACTCACCATTCATGATTACATTCTTATCTCATATGATGCTATATAACCTCTAAGGCCAAAACCCATGTAAGTGTTACTCAGTTAATATCACGGAACTACTTAAGACATTTTAATTATTGTTATTTTATTACTTATTACTACACATTTATTTCAGTTAGATTTTCCCATACTAACAATAAATGTAATTATTTTTAATTCCACTATCACATCTCTCAATATTAAAACTCAGCAAGCTAGTCAACTCATGAAATTGAGTGAACAATGCCAATAACAAAGCTTAACTAATGTAGTCTGCACCATACTGCTCAAATGCATAATTAGTCAGCACAACACAGAACTGAAGCTTACCTCCTCTTCCAACCGCCGCAACATGGCAGGGCTATTGTATTTCTCAGGATCATCATGAAATATTACCATACCGTCCTTCTGGTTAATTGTTGCAAAAATTTCACCATCTTCAATCTATATAAAAACAATTACATTCTATAGTTATTCATATGTACCTGCCCACAACATATTATTTAGATAGGCTTTCTCACATTTCCTCTGTGTGCTGCAGTTACACAAAACACCAGAATGATACTTTTGGAATGTATGCTTCACAAATGTTATATCTCACTGGAGTGGATATTCATTTATTGTAGATAACAAATGTATTATTGCAAATTTAATCACACTGAAGATATAGAGTCATAAATTATTTTCCTATTTACCATATCAAAAACTGTTTCAAATAGATCTTAATGAGATAAAATGTAAGAGATTTTGCATGATGAGCAGTTTTATATATATATATATATATATTTATTTAATCCAGCAACTAGTAAAGTAGGGGTTACATTAGACCTGTATGAGCCAAAATTAAATTAATGTGACAACTTTTCTTTACAGATTCCCAATAACAAATTTCTTCACAATCCACAGTATTTGCAGAGATTAATCATATGAAAGGACAGAAAGGACTTAATGCTGTGTTTATATTTTGTGTACTTAGTGTAGTATAAACAAATTGGAAGAATGTCTTGAAAAATAAAAATGAAAAACTAAATTTGTTGCCAACTTTTTAGTTCCAATATTCAATAGAATGGGACTTACAGAATAATAACAACTTCATACTGTTTGTTGTAACTCATATAAATATAGAGTACAGTAGTAGTCCAACAAAAATTAACACTGACCATGTTGAGAATATATTTCTCAGCATCCGAAGGTCCAGAAAGCTGCACTCTACTAGCAACATCAGACAATGACAGGGTTAGGAACGTTTTGGTCAGGCGCTGTATGTTCTTCTTGTAAAGAGATGCCAAAACTTGCTTTACTAGACCCATGTTGTTCTCCCTGTACATCAACATCCATTACCAACATAATTCCAAGAATATTGTGAATTAGTACAACTTTGTGCATGATTTCACATGGCATACAATGACATTACATGCAAGATGACAGATGTACCTAAAGGTTTTGCAGCACTGCCATATTTGTACCTCTAAACAAAGAATTTCATACAAGATCCACAAGTATATTTATGATCTCTACAGCAAATTTTATACGCCTAACTCCACTGGTTTTGTTAGTTATTAACAACACTGTCCAACTGAAAAGCTTATACAGTATTAATCTCCCAGATACAAATCATGAGCATTACCACTACATACATGAACTTGTACAATATAATTTTGTTTTATATTCTACAAACATATGACTAAAAAAACTGTATGTTTTCTTATGTTTCACTATCATATTAAATATCAGGACATTTATATTAAGTGATGTTTTGTTGTTTCACAGTTCATACAGACACGAAGTTGGTAGTAATGATAGAAAATTATGAAGAACAAAAATCGAATAGCCTATAATAGCAAGTCACAAGTAAATAGATATGATAGGCCAATGTTATGAAATTCAAACAAAGCAAATAACTAAAAATATGCCATATTCAGCATTAAAAATACAGCATGTTGTCTTATGGGCTTTTACTTCCAATGGTGTCTAATTTTTGTATTTAAATTTCCCATTTGCTTTTTTATGCTGGTCTGTAATGTAGTTATATTTCTTCTGTAAGATGGCAGTGAAAGCAGTTGATGTTTATTTGTTCATGCTACAAAGACTGTATACCTTCTCATTTGTCTCTGTTCTGGTGATAAGAAGTATTTGTTGTTACAGAACGACTAACTGGCTTTGTAAAGCCACAAGTTAACTAGTGCCAAGAATGATCGGTTTTTTGAAATATAAATGGCATACAGGCAATAGTAGAACTTGATTTCTGGAACTTAAATAATTACCTCATGAATGTATCATGGCATTTGTTGATCACAGTGCGCAGTTCATCTGGATTATTACTACAGTATACTGTTGCTAGTTCATGATATGGCTGACTTAATGGTTTGATAAATCGACCAACTACTTGTGATGTGTACTTTGGAATGCTCTGGATCTGCAATCAACACAATTATTATAGAAGCCTCTATGATTTCAAGGCAGTTTGTAGCTATTCTTGCTTCCATTCTTGAATAGCAATGGCATGATATGGTTGGCTGATCTGCTGATTCTGTCCCCACCTTCAACATGAAATTACTAAACATCCTGACACTCACATTTACAGTCTTAAGCCAAAAGGCAGTAGAAAAGTTTACATTCTGATTGGGGGATGCATGGTGAATGGAGAAGAAAACTGGAAACTTAGGTTCCTCTTAAGGACCAATTTTCTTCTGACAGAAAAAAGCAAGATAGTTGGATAAAACAGTAAAAAGAACCTTACTAAAGTAATTTTATCCAGACTGACCAATAAGCCTTCAAGATGGGGATAGCAAGCTCTACAAGTCATGCTGGCCCACACAACACAATGTTGTGACCCAAGAACAAGAGAATATGAACACAATACTACAGATAGGCTTAACATTTATATCCTTTGCAATATTAGGTCTGGGTGGTCTGTTAGAGGTTACCCTGCCACTTCTGATGATCACCAAATTAGGTATTACTAGAAATAAACATAGAAATTAAAATGTAAGGATTTGAAGTTTCATCACTTACCTTGCCATGAAGAATCAGAGACACAAGAATATACTTCTTGTATGCTTCCAACATAATGTGGGACACAGCCAAGGCAGGAGTTGTGATCGCAACCTCAAAGAAGTAAAGGGCTCTATCATAGTTCTTCAATGCAGCATAGATCATCCCTCCATAATAGTAATACAAGAGGAAGTATTTGGTGTCAAACTGCCCACCCTGAAAAAATTTATAATTATTGATCATCATTAATTTGTTTGCTGAGTCACTCTTGTATTATGAGACCCTTGAAAATGGTACTGTAATTGTAATCAGGTAAATCAACTTTTTACTTATTTTATTTTATGACAGAACACAATAATGAACAGGAGAGACAACCCGCTTTCGTTGAAGAACAAGTGACTAAAAATATGCGCTTGTCTCATTTAATGCTTAAAAAATATTCCTGTGCATACTTTTGAGAAAAACCGTAACTGCTAGAAATTGAACAAAATGCTTAATTTTTTAAACAAAGTAAACATTAAAATAATTCTCATCATGATTTATTTCTCACAGCTTAGAGAATAAATTTCTTATAAATGTTTTACGAGGCACACTGTGACTAATGTTACAACTTCAACCATTTTCTTACTACTTCTGTAATAGGTGAGAAACTGACGTGTTGTCTTCCACCTTTCTCTCTACTACACAACAAAAGTTACAAGTTTCTTGGACATATTTTTGAATACTGTACAGGTAAAATCAGAAATTAAAGAAAAGCCTTTTATTTCTTCAAAAACATACTTGTGAATAGAAATTTTTTCTGGTGTTTTTTCTCTGCCTTACCATTTAGAAAATGCAAAGTGTATAACAAACTCAAAATAATATAATGAGTTTCAGGTTTTAATTGTTCATAAAAGCATGAGTTGCAGGCCCTTAAATATTAATATATGCTGAACAGAGATATAACAATGCTATTAAGTCATGAAAAGTTTTTTAAAAAATTGTCTGCAGAAATTACTCAAAATAAGTGAACTCTGGAACAACTTTACAATGCAGTGACTATGCATTTAAGCCTGAAGCTGAAGGTAGTAATGTTCTTCACAACTCAGAAGG